CCAATTTTTCACTTTAGGAACATCTTCAAACCATGATATGCTGGTTTGGGGCACCGATTATTTGTGCTCCCACATTTTTCATTTTGGGAACATCTTCAAACCAGGATATCTTGGTATGAGGCACTGTCAAGACCACTTGTGTTTCCCCATTTCTCGCTTCGGAAACATCACCCAACCGCCATATTGATTAGTCGCAGCCTTTAAAAACAGGCACAGCCTTTAAAAACAGTTCCCTCATTTCTGGCGCTAGGAACATCTTCAAACCATGATATATGTTGGTTTGGGACAGCTCTCAAGGTCATTTTACATCTCGCTTTCGGGCTACGGTCCCAAATCGGCATTTTCCAGATGCGTTTCCCTCAGGAACAGACCCTGATTTCTCTTGGTCGCTAAACAGCCAAAGTGTTTTGGGAAACGTGAGAAAAGCAACATTTCAACGATGCAGGAAATATAGCTCCGTAAACACTTGAAATGTAAAACCCCGACATCGCTTTTCCCATTAATGTGCTCTAGATCAGGGGCCTTGAACCTGGGCAACTTTAAGACTTGTGGACTTCAACTCCCAGAATTCCTCAGCCAGCTGGCTGAGGAATTCTGGGAGTTGAAGTCCACAAGTCTTAAAGTTGCCCAGGTTCAAGGCCCTGATCTAGGTTACTCGACAACACATTTGGAAATACGCCCGCCCACAAAAATATTATACTGTGACCGTTATCACATTTTAAGGTGACAAGCTAATGTGAATGCAACTTAAAAAAAAAATTTTTTTAAAAAAAGGAAAAAGCAGCTGTAAAGCTAGGCCAAGATGAAACAAAGACCTTTTCTTGGTGACAAATTAAAATTTTCAGAAGGTAAAGGAGGTCCCTGGTATTTTTTTTTTTTTTCTGTACCGCACGGGGCTCCCAGCTTAGGTCTTCTGCTCGAAGAGATCGTGGTATTCTTGGTTGTCCAGGTCCCTGTTGTACTTTTCAATCTCTCGGTTCGCCTCTTCCAAGTAATCGTTCATGAACTGGTCCATTACTGGGATGAAACCGTTAAGGAGGAGAATGTCATGCCCTTGTTGGAGTCGGATTCTGAGGGGGAGATTGACAGGGAATGGGAGTGTGGCTCCGGTAGCTGTGGAGGAAATGGGGGGAAGGGGACATTCCGGCTGGGCATTCAGAGGAAGACCCAGCCCCCCCACTCTTCATCCTAGGGCACGCATGGAGGAACGGAGAAGGGAGCAACATGGCTTGCGGGGGAGAAAAGGGCCCTGATTCCCTTCATTAGCTGCAGCTGGGAGAACAGGATATAAATGGGGCGTTTGCACACAGCACCTTGCTGGAAGAAAAGTGTGCATTATCTTGGTCTAGGTTTTGGCGTCCGCCCAACTGCGATTGCTGCGTTATCTTGTGGAAGTCTGCAATTTATCATCCTGGCCCGGCCGTGTTAATGACTTCAATGTGGTTTGTGTTGGGTTTTTTAAAATTTGTAATCATCTATACTTTGGGTTTGGACTGCATTTACTCCATTTGTAGACTGTTTTTGGAAGAGTTTGATCTCCAGCCAAGGATAATTAGACATTGAGGCCCAAGTTGGAGGCATTAAAAGGAATTTATTCTACTTTTGTGACTTTGTTATTTTTGTGTCATGCCCTGGGTCATTAAAAAGAAGAAGAAAAAAAGGATTTCTGGGAAGAACTTGAGAAATGACTATAAAGAGGAGTAGAAATAGTCCTCGACTTATGACCACAATGGAGCCAAAATTGGTATGTTGTTAAGTGAAACATTTCTCAAGTGACCATGTCCCGTTTTATGACTTTCCTTGTCCCATTGGTTAAGGGAATCAGTGCAGCTGTTAAATTAGTAACCTGGTCATTAAGTGAATCTGGGTTCCCATAGGCCACAAAATGACCCCTGAACACTGCAACCCGGTCATAAATGCGAATCGTCTGTCAAGCATCCTGAATGTAAATTGCATGACCGCAGGGAGGCTTGCAATGGTCGTTAAGTGTGAAAAACGATCATGAGTTACTATTTTCAGTGCCGTTGTAACTTCGGTCACTAAATGAACTGTTTTAAGTCAAGGACTACCTGTAGTGCTCGGCTTACGATCACAATTGGACCCCCAATTCAATCACCAGGAGACGGTGAGTTCTAGTCCTGCCTTAGGCATGAAAGCCGGCTGGGTGACTCTGGGCCAATCACCAGGAGACGGTGAGTTCTAGTCCCACCTTAGGTGTGAAAGCCGACGGGGTGATTTTGCGCCAATCGTTCTCTTTCAGCCCAACCCACCTCACAGCGTTGTGGGGAAAACAGGGGGAGGAAAGAGTATTAGGTATGTTTATCACCTTAAAGTTATTTATAAAAAAATAATCTAAGTAAAATAAAGGAAATAGGGCCAGGCTACGCTGCAAAACACGCTACATGTAACAAAGGATACATGGATGATAATCCATTTTGTCGCCAAAGAAATTCACAAACTGCGTCCCATTGTAGAAGTAGCCAGCGGGAAGTGGATCCAGGTGCCGTTTTACCTGGAATTCAGAGAGGGAGAGAGAGAGAGAGAGAGAGATTGCTGAGGGTGGTATCCATAAAACACACTCCCACTGGAAGTCCCTAAATGTACATTTTTAGAAATGTTGATCTGCCTAGTTTAAATTATTATATTAAAATAATTAAACTAGGCAGATCAAAATTGTTTTAATTGGTTTCCTATTGGTTCTATAGCCCAGACTCGCCTTATAGGGAAGATGGCTGGCATATAACTTTAATAAATAAAAATATAAATAAATTGGGATCACGGGTGAATTTGGCCTAGAAACTGAGTCTTATGAAATGGAAACACACACACACACACACACACACACACACACACAGTCTCTTAGTAGCATCAGACCCAGCAGAAACCAACATAAAACAGTAGGGAATTCAACTTACGACCAAAATGGATCCCAACGTTTCTGTTGCTAAGTGTAAGCATCTGTTAAGTGAGTTTTGTCCCATTTTATGACCTTCCTTGCCACAGTTCGGTTAATAATTTGGTTGTTATGTGAATCTGGCTTCCTCCCTTGACTTTGCTGGTCAGAAGGTCGCAAAAACGGGGATTGCGCGATCCCGGGACGCTGGAACCGTCATAAATACGAGTCAGTTGCCAAGCGGCCGAATTTTGACTACCTGACCCTGGCGGTTGTAAGACGCTTTTTTTTTTCCAGTGCCGTTGTAACTTGGAATGGGCACTAAATGTACTGTTGTAAGTCGAAGACTACCTGCACACCACTCTTAGATGTAGATTAATGGAGTTGGAAGGGACCTCGTAGGTCATCTAGCCCAACCCCCACACCCCACCCCGCCCCGCCCAAGCAGGAGACCCTACTCAGAGGAAAAGCCTGTGCAAACTACAAAGGCTCAGCAAAGGGAACATTTATCTACTTTTTTTGAATCTATTTTATATTCCAAAGCCCCAAAGAAGGCAGGACAAGAAGCAACGGATGGAAACTGATCAAGGAGAGAAGCAACCTGGAATTAAAGAGAAACTTTCTGACAGTGAGGTCAATTAACTTTTATCTACTTTTATCTACTTTATATTCCAAAGCTCCTGAGGGCAGGATGAGAAGCAACGGATGGAAACTCATCAAGGACAGAAGCAACCTGGAATTAAGGAGGAATTTCCTAACAGGGAGGACAATTGACCAGTGGAACTGCCTGCCACCAGAAGTTGTGGGTGCTCCTTCCCTGGAGGTTTTCAAGAAGAGATTGGACTGTCATTTGTCTGAAATGGTATAGGATCTCCTGCCTGAGCTGGGGGTTGGACTAGAAGACCTCCAAAGTCCCTTCCAGCTCTATTATGATGGATGGATTGATACTTTTTTGCTCCGCTCTGCTTACTCAACTGTTCCTGCCCAGATGCCACTTGGCTCACTTACGTGAATGTTCTTGATCTCCTGAGACGTCAACATGCCCCGAGTCTTCAGAGCTTTTCTTTGTGGCTTCTGGGTTTGGGGGAGAGAAAGAAAAAAAACAGTTTAGCTTATTTAAAACCCAAATGAAAAACAAAGCCAACAACAACAACAACAAAGAATAAGGTCGGATAATTGTAGGGTATAAAAGTTAGGAACAATTGTTTGCTTTGAGCAACTTTAACCATCATCCGCCGAACAAACCACAATCCGCCAAACAAACCATATCATCCGCCAAACAAACCACATCATCCACCAAACAAACCACCATCTGCCAAACAAACCACCATCAACCAAATGGATGCTCAGGGGTCCCAGCAGTTTTTGTTCTTGAAATAATGACCCATGATATGGAGATGGAAAGAGGAAGAATTTGGGAAAGAAAGGTTAGTCCTCAAGTTACAGCCGTTCATTTAGTGACTGTTCAAAGTTATAGTGGCACTGAAAGGCAGGAGGAGAGGCTACTCTAACGGATGGAAACTACTCAACTAACTCAACTGCATTTTAAGCAGTATTTTATTCCAATTCCATTTTAAATCGCATTTGATTCCAATTCCATTTTAAATCACATTTGATTCCAATTCCATTTTAAATCGTTTTATTCCAATTCCATTTTAAATCACATTTGATTCCAATTCCATTTTAAATCGTTATTTGATTCAAATTCCATTTTAAATCGTTATTTGATTCCAATTCCATTTTAAATCGCATTTGATTCCAATTCCATTTTAAAACATTATTTTATTCCAATTTCATTTTAAATTGTACTGATCAGATTTTAGTAATAATTTGTGCCTGGAACTCCGCACTTCGATATGGCCCAGGGGGCTAATCAATAAAGTAAACTCAACCAAACTCAACGGTGGGGCAAAGAAAGTCGTAAAATGGGCCAAACCTCAACCCATGCCTCACTTAGCAACATAAATTTTGGGCTCAGCTGTGGCTGTTAAGTCGAGGGCTTTTCAGGGTTGTATGCCAGCTAAAGTACATTTGTGCCTAGCCTGAAGTCACTGGGGAGTCTTGGAAGCCCACCGGATGTGACCCTGATATTCGAGCTCGACAAAATTCCTACCACCATTTTACCGGGGGACGTAACACAAGGACCATCAAATATTCAGGCTCAAATCTCGAAAGCTGCTGTGGAAACTTGGACAGCAATTATCTCAGAGAAGACTGTGAGACTGAGATAGCGGGGCGCCAGGAGTGGGCAGCTTCTAATCCAGATATGTTTAATTTAATATCTGATCAGGCACCGAGGCCCTTTCAGCTTTGATCTACTAATGAAATTCTGGAGAGCGCTCAACCAGATTTGAACCAACTTTGGCAGATGCCAATCACTGCCGTCCCTCAGTCTCGGGAGACGACGGGATCGTGCTCTGAAAAGAAGTCCTAAAAGAGCATCTAGTGTGGCTAAAAAGGCCAATTTGAGAGTGGGAATCCCTTCCACGGTGAGGACCGATGCAGTCTGTCCCTGTCCAGCCCACGGATTTCGCTGGTTACGGGATGACGGATGGAAACGGAACAAGGAGAGATTCAACCTGCAAATAAGGAGAAATTTTCTGACAGGGAGAAACCATCAACCCGTGGAACAGAAGTTGCCTTTGGAAGTGGTGGGAGCTTCATCACCGGAAGCTTTCAAGAAGAGATTGGGCTGCTATCTGTCAGAAATGGTGTAGGGCCTCCCACTTGGGCGGGGTGTATGTGTGTTGTTGGGTTAAACTAGATGACCTCTAAGGTCTCTTCCAACTCTAATTATCTGTTATCTACCTGTTATCTGTTATTTATGCTGCGTGGAGCTGTGCAGTTAGGCCCAGAACCAATCCCATCCCTCAGTCTCGGGAGACGACGAGATCGTGCTCTGAAAAGAGGTCCTAAAAGAGCATCTAGTGTGGCTAAAAAGGCCAATTTGACTAACTCGCCGTGAGTTATCCAAGCCCTTCTACTTGGTTCTCTGCATAAAAGATATTTTGGGAGGCCACCATGAAAGAATTCCGGCTACTGCTGTGTTTGGAAGGCGAGCCCTATTTATAGAATCGGTCTTCAGACCTTTCTCTGCCATTTTTTCCCACCCACCGGCCTCTGGTCCACCCAGATTGCCCCGGACCCTCTTCCTGCGCAAAGCTTCTCTTCCCATCTGTCCCTGGTATCTGCAAAGGTCGGGTCTGCTTTCTAGTTGGTGCCTTGGTGACTTAGTGAGAACTCACTCGCCGTGACTTTCGCCTGCCACCGTGCACTCGGTCCCCGGGAAGAACCGAGATGAGCTCACCCCGACAGATGTCCTGAAGCCCACGAGAAAAGCAGAAAGGGCACCGGGGGTTTGGCGGCAGCAGGGAAACTTGAAGTCACGTTGGCTCCCTGGTTGCTGTCTCTCGACAAGGAAAGCGTGCAAATTATCCTTGTGTAACCAGGCTAGCTCTATATTTGTGTTTCGCGACGAAACTATGTGGCCGGGCTTAGTTTTTGGGGGAGGAAAATAAGGTGGTGGTGGGGGAAAAATCTGCCTCTGCCTACCAGCATCCATCGGCGTTCGTCTGGCTAGCGTCCTGTCAGTGTGTGCGAGAGAAGAGGGCTGTTTGGAAACGGAAAGAGCATTTGCTGCGTGAGCAAGAAGGAGACAGCAAGGAGCCTGGGCGTGGCTTAGCTCAACTGTTCTGTACTCAAGCTGCTTGGTGCTGCTGTGAAACTGAGACTGAAAGTCCTCTGCTTGTGTTTTGCATTTGGAAGAGATTTCTTTTCAGGTGGGGAGGGGGAGTAGGACTCCTTAGCATCAGAGCGTAATAATAATAATAATAATAATAATAATAATAATAATAATAATATAGGAAATACTAATGCTCTGATGGTCATTTCAAAAAATCCTTTCTTAGTGAGCCCCTAGAAGCCAAGAAGAACCTGTGTGCCAAATTTCAAGTTTGTGGCCCTTATGGTTCTGGAGATTTTGTGATGATGCGTGAGGGGTATTTTGATTTTATGTATAGATGATTTCTTGTGAGCCACCTTTGCAAATAAAATCCAGAATCCTTCATCCGGGTAAGATCTCTTATCACAGCCAGTTTGCGGTGACAGCCGTGGTACCAAGCCAGATGTTCCTGTCAGGAGCTCTGCCATGGAACTAAAAATTCAGCTTCTGTGCTAAATGTTTCATAACCTAAATGCATTTTTTTTGCAATGTGGGCATCACAGGTGGCGGGTTCTCTCTAGCTTTCAGAGCCCAAACACCTCCCTTTAAGGCCTTCAGACGTGTACAGTTAGTCCTCGACTTACAACAGTGCGTTTAGTGACCATTCGATGTTACAACAGCCCTGAAAAAAAAGTGACCTAGGGCCCGTTTTTCACACGACCACTGCAGCATCCCCAGGGCCGCGTGGTTTACATTGGGATGCTTGACAATCGACTCGAATTTATGACGGTTGCGACCTTCTGGACGAGCAACTTCATCGGGGAAACCGCCTTCACCTGAACGACCAGGTTACTGGTTTTAACAACTTTGGTGATTCGCTTCAAAAACACGGGGCAAGAGAAGTCGTAAAATAGGGCGAAACTCAAATTTTTCCCTGAGCGACATGAATTTTGGAGTCGATTGGGGTCGTAAGTTGAGGACTACGTGCAATTTCCTAATGAGGGAGGGGTAACTCCACTTCTCCCCCCACACCCACCCCGCCTCCGAGGAATCCGGTAGAGACCCTCACCTGTTTGGCCGTCTGCCTGAGCCAGTCCTTTATGTCATCTTCTTTGAGGGAACACCCCACAAACACCAGGAAGCTTTCCTGAGATCCCGAATAATCCTGGTTCTCAGTTCTGGATTCGGGAGGCGAAGGGAGGGGCCCCTCTTGGACAGGTACCAGGCTTAAGGTGTTGGAAAATGCATGGTGACATACTTCGACCGTCCGGTCCGAATCTGCGTCAGAGAAACGGCAAAAGGGGATAAGGTTAGGGTTATTAAGGGGAGGCGTCTTTGGTTCAGCGAGGAGGGGGTCCTTGAGGTGCTCTCAGGTAATAAGCAGGGGTAGGGATTCTGCCCATTTGGACTGGTTCCTATGAACTGGGAGCTATGGCGATCAGTTGGCCCCTGGCTCCAACCTTGGCAACTTTTAAGCCCTGCGGACTTCAACTCCCAGAATTCCCCAGCCAGTTTGCTGGTGGTGGTGTTAGCCGGCAGCAGGTGTGGACGGCTGAGGAGAGCGGTGAGGACTCAGATGAGGGCCCAGGACCATCAGGGAGTGGAGTGCTGCTTTCGGAGATGGTGGGGGCTGGCAGCAGCGACGAGGAGGTTCCCGAGGAGCCTGTGCTAAGTGCGCGTGTGCACAGGTTCGCTCATAGGAGAGAGAGCAGTTATAGCAGCATGGGCGACTCGGGAGTCAGGCTGCAAGGTAATGGCCCCTCCTTCAAGAAGATAAAAGCCAGGTTGGAAGAAGCGTCCTTTGCAGAAGGCAAAGACGCTCTGAAACTCGGCCTCGTGGACATTATAGTTAGTATTTGAAAACTCTTGCGAACTATGCCTTATCGGTGGGTTTTTGGCAGCTGTGAAAAATCAACTTGGCCAGGCTCTTCCTTATCGGAGCTAATTAGTTGGAAGCAGCCTTTTCTCTGTGAAGAAACAAAATTCGTGGATTAAACCTTAAAAGGCGGGGGTTGCGGCTTTTGTCTTGCGTTTGCTCTCTTGGAACCAGGTTGGGTCAGATCAGCTGGCTGGGAAATTCGGGGAGTTGGAACTCCACCAGGCTTAACGTTGCCAAGGTTGGAGACCCCTGGACTAGTCTGTCCTTTATTTCCATGTTTTATAGCAGGGGTCCCCAACCACCGGTCCCCGGACCGGTACCGGTCCGTGGAACATTTTCTACCGGGCCGCCGGTTTGCTGGGCGCCACCATCTTGTTTTGATGAGAAAGTGCTTCCGGTGAGCTTTTCCGGTTGGAAAGCGGCGTTTGGGTCCTGAAGGAATCCTCGCGCCTTAGTTTCATCGAAGGGGGCGCGGCTTTGAACGAAACTAAGGCGCGAGGACTCCTTCAGCACCCAAGGCAAGGCGAGCCGAGCGACCGTCCCGAAGCCCATCGACAAAGGTACAAAGGAGGAGTTGAAGGTGGCGGGGAGAAGCGGCGGACGGCTGGCTGGCGGGTCGCTCGGCTCGCCTTGCCATGCGTGCTGATGCCGGTACCGGGACGCGGATCATTTTTTGATGCCGGTACCGGGTTGTGGCACAAAAAAGGTTGGGGGCCACTGCTTTATAGCTCAGCTGACAGGCGCAGCCCAGTGGATTGCCACGCCTCAGCTGTTTCCCTCACCGGGGCGGCTGCAGTAGAAGATAAGTTTCACAACAATTTCAGCAAAACGGGTTCTCTGCCCGGTTGCTGGGTAGGCATGGCCATGGTGGGGCGTGGCCTAGTCGGCCTCCTGCATCACGGCGGGGAAGGGGGCGTTTTCACCCTCCCCGGACTCCGGAGGCTTTCCTCAAAGCCTCCGGAAGTGTGAAAACGGCCTCCCGGGGCTCCCGAGGCTCTCCGTTTTTCGCCCTGAGCCTCCGGGCCCCCTGCACTTCCCTGCATCCCAAATGGGTGGCGTGGGGACTCCTGGGTGGGGAGGGGAAGGGTGGGTGGGGAGGGGAAGAGTGGGTGGGGCCAGCCAGGAGTGAGATTCTCCCGAACCCCTACGAACCCCCAGCAGCCCCCCGAGTTTTAGAGCTTACGCATTGCTCTTTAAACGCTGGGTTGCAGGCGCGCAAAGCACACGCTCACCGAACCGGTTGAATCCCACCAGGCTCGGTAGCCATAAAAGTCCCATCGGTCAAGGCTGAGTGGGGTTTCCCCCCCTCCATCTTGTTTTAAATACTAGCAAAAATAATTTGGAAAAGGGGGATGAGGTTGAGGCTAAACATTTACCTGAAAACTTGACTTTGCCAAAAATGTGGTAGATGTTTCCAGAGAACGGACTCGATTTGTTGGATGACTTCAGTGCTGTTTGAAAAGACCATTTTGAGGATTAGAGCGGCATCTCTCAACCGGGGCACCTTTAAGAAGGGGGGGGGACCACAACTCCCAGAATTCCTAGGCGGCCATGTTGACTGCGGGGGATGCTGGGAGTTGAAGTCCACCCATTTGTGTGTATTTCTAATTAGGAAGGTCCTTTGGCTGAGCTTAAGCTGAGCTGCGTTGTCAAACGGGATCTCAGTAGAAGTTTGTCTTTTCATGGCACCTTAAGAAAGGTGGGATTGCCATTTTTTTCCCCTCAGAGAGGGTGTAAGTTGTCCACCATGGGCGAAAAAATTCAAGATGGTGGCTACAAGGATGTGATCAAAGAGCTGCCTCTTTGGATCTACCTGGGTGGCTGAAAGGGTAGAAGGAACATTGAGCATCATTTTGGGGTTTTTGCAAAATCTTATGGAGCGTTTGATTTCCCTCTAATTCAGCGTTTCTCAGTCTTGGTGACATTAAGAGGGGTGGACTTCAACTCCCAGAATTCCCCAGCCAGCATCGCTGGCTGGGGAATTCTGGGAGTTGAAGTCCACTCTTCTTAAAGTCTAGGATCAGATACATAAAATGAAAAAAAAAATATTACATGACTTGTGAGTTTTTAAAATTATACTAAACGTATTTCATCTGAAGTTTATACCAAGGCTGAACCTTCTGATAAGGAGTTTCAGTTATATATTCTTGTTAGCCATTCCAGAGAGACAAAATACCCACGTTAAGACTCCATGAGAAAATACCACTGCAGGAAGAAATTATTAAGAAAATATTGGAATGTGCTGAGACGAGTAGATTGACATTTGAAATTAGAGAGCAAGAGGATAAACGATTCTATAAAATTTGGGACCTTTTCTATCAATGGTTGGGTGATAAAATATAATAATAGAATATCTAGAATGTTAGATAACGAGGAATATCTTTGTTTTTTCTTTTTCTTTTGTTATTTGACATCATGTCTATAAAGTGTTTTTAGGATAGATTTGGTATGATTATATGATTTGTTATAGGATAAACTACCTAAATTATAGTTATCTCATAAAGTATGAATGAATAAAATCACAGTCAAATGATTTTCTAATAGTGATACTAGGATATATAAGTTTGGATTGATAATACGAGTTATTATGTAATGGAACTGTAATTGTGACTACGAAATGAATGCACAAAACTGATGAACCAACCGACACACTGCTTGTATATAGGTATGGAAGAGAGCTGATGTTTTTATGTTTTGTTTGTTTTGTTTGTTTTTAAAAAACCAATAAAATTGTTGTTTTTTTTAAAAAAAGACTCCATGGTGCTAAAAAACCCAATAATTTACCTTTACATTTGGCCGCAAAGCGCATTTTCTCCAAAGGACGGTTAAACCACACACAAATTTGGACCATGGGGGGGAAGACAGAACCGGCTCTAAATTTCCCATCGAACCTGAAAGGGGGGAAAAATATTAATTAATTAAAGGAAAGTATTCACTCTTAATTACGAATTGTTTTTGAAAAGCAGGCAAATGGCTTTAAAAGCCAATTTTGCATTTTGGAACATTTTAATAAAACAGGCCAAGTTCTGCTTTCCAAAGGAGAGAAACAGCTGAAGAAGAGATAATGACTCTTGTCATCACAGCAAATGTATTTTGTCCGGAGTTGCCTGGTTTGAGCTTGGCACGCCTGTTAAAAAGAGCATTAAAATAATATTCTACACAGGTAATACAAGTTGTCCTCGACTTAACGACCACAACTGAACCCAAAATTTCCATCGCTAAGCAAGACAGTTAAGTGAGCTCTGATCCATTTTGCCATCTTTCTAACCACGGTTGTTAAGCAAACTTCTTAAAGTTGTTAAGTGAATCATGCATCCGCTAAGCGAGACTGGCTCCCCCCACTGACAATCTGGGAAGGTGATGACAAGACCCCGGGACATTGCAACTGTCACAAGTACACGCCAGTTGCCAAGTGCCTGAATTTTGATCATGTGACCGTGGGAATTCCAGGATAGTCATAAGTGTGAGGACCAATCAGAAGGGACTTTTCCAGTATTGCTGTAATTTTGAATGGTCACTAAATAAAATCGTTGTAAGTTTATAGTTCTGCTTTAACTGTGCCTGGTTTGGTCTTAACTTGAGAACAGCCCTGAATTTAGGCTGCAAGTTGTTATTTTTCCAGGAAATAAAAATAAGGAACGTGCTAAACATATGTGCACCTCAAAACAGAACAGGCACCAAAAATAATTGCAACTTCATGCGATCATATAAACAGTGAGAGAAGGGTTCCAGATGTGCTGGCCTGCAGCTGGAAGGGCTGGACCGCGAGAGGGAGATTAAGTTTTGCACATAGCGGAGAAGAAAAATTCCTAAAAATTCTTATCCCAGAGGGATAAGGTTCAGTTTACCTTAACAGAAGTGCATTCTGGGAAGCCTGACATTTGTCAGAAAAGGTGTAGGGTCTCCTGCTTGGGCGGGGTTGGACTAGATGACCTATAAGGTCCCTTCCAACTATGATTATCTGTTATCTGTTATACAATAAGGCAGAGGTCTCCAAACTTGGCAGCTTTTAAGTCTTGTGGACTTCAACTCCCAGAATTCCTCCTGGCTGAAGAATTCTGGGAGCTGAAGTCCACAAGTCTTTAAAGTTGCTGTTAAAAACATCTTTCGCAACTCAAATCTTAAGCATGTACTTTCCTTTCCAAATAGTCCTTGACTTATGACAGGTCATTATGATCATTATCTCTCTGGCGATCACATGACTGTACTCCAGGTAATTTTGCAATTACGCTGCATTTACAGAGATCTGCAGTGTGCCACAGGTCCTATGATCCACATGTTATTAAGTAAAAATCGTGCAGAGGTGGTATATTCAGCTGGTTCTGAGCAAGTTCTGGAGAACCGGTAGCAGAAATTCTGAGTGGTTCGGAGAACCGGCCAATCCCACCTCCGACTGGCCCTGCCAACCCCATATCTCTTCTCTGCCTCCCATTGAGTCCCAGCTGATCGGCTGGGTCTCCTTTGGTTGCCCTGCACAGGAGAAGGGAGCTGGAAAGCAGGTCAGTGGGGTGGGGGAGGGGAGGGGGATTTTGCAGTATATCCTTCCCCTGCCACGCCCACCAAGCCACGCCCACAGCACCGGTAGTAAAACAAATTTGAATCCTACCACTGAATACGTGCCATAGCAAAGCACTGGTTTGCTCAACAACTGACGCGTTTGCTTCGTTTAGTTTCGTTGACTTTATTGTCATCGCGCCTCATACAACGAAATTAAAGTTCAGGGTACATGATGACTATGAAAATGAACACAAACCCACATCCTTCACATTCTATACACGTCGAACTGAAAACCCCTGATACTGCATTAATATTGCACTATTATACAGCGGAATTCAACAGAGCTCCTGCCCTGGGATAGAAGCTGTTTTTCAGCCTATTTGTGCTTGTTTTTATTATTCTGTACCGGCTGCCAGATGGTAATAGTTTCAAAAAAAAGGGGGTGCCTAGGATGAGATGGATCTTTGAGGGTGTTTTGAACCTTCTTAAGGCAGCGGGAGCTCTAAAGCTCTTCCAAAAAGGGGAGAGTGCAACCCATGATCCTCTGGGCAAGGACATTAAACCCTCTGGAGCGCTGTCCTATCTGCCCCTGTGCAATTGGCAAACCCTACAGAGGTGCAGTAAGTTAAGATACCCTCTATGACTACAGAGTCACTTCACAGATGTGCCCAATGTTTCTGTTGTTAAATGAGACATCTCTTAGGTGAGTTTTGCCCCATTTTATACCCTTTCTTGCCACGGTTGTTAAATGAAATCACTGCAATTGTTAAGTTACTAACCTAGTTGTTAAGTGAAATCTGGCTTCCTCCATGGACTTTCCTTGTCAGAAGGTCGCAAAAGGGAATCAAGTGACCCTCCCCAGGGACACTTCAATGGTCATAAATATGAATCAATTGCCAAGCTCCTGAATTTTGATCACGTGGCTGTGAGGATGCGGCAAAGATCCTAACTCTGAGAAGCCACGGTAAGTACTTTTTTTCAGTGCTGTTGTAATTTTGAACAGTCGTTAAGTGAACTGTTGTTAAGAGCGGTGCAGTGGTGGCCTAGAGGTGGGGTTCTCGCCTCACAATCAGGAGGCTGTGACTTTGATCCTAGGTAGAGGCAGATGTCCCTCTCTCTGAACACATGATGAGAATATATCTGCCGAACAAAACTCCTCACTGGCAACAGGAAGAGCATCCGGCCAGTAAACACTCTGCTAGCTCCGTTCACTTGGCCAGACCCCATCCCACAAGAGATTATGGGGTCGTTCAATGATGATGATGATTAAATGAACTGTTCCTAAGTCAAGGACTCCCTGAATACATAGATACACGCATATTAAAAGTCACTGGGTCAACCATTTTGCCAAACAGAGATACTTGCCAGCCGGGGTACATTAAATAGCGACTTGCCAACATCTGGGGGTCGGAGAAGCTGTTTTCTGAAAGGATTAGCTCGATGTCCTCATTCCTAGCGGGAGAGAACCCAAATTTTATTGACTTATTCATATTTACGGAGATTTTTGTTTTCACGGGGCCTTGAAAGCAGCCTCTCTGAAACTCGATCCCTCTAGATGTGTGCTAAGGGCTGCGCCTTCCCATTTTCCCATCAGCGCCTCAACTTCAAAGACCGTGTCATGTTATGTGCCAAAGCCCCAGAAGTGACGTCAGGTAAGGAAAAATTGATTCTAAACTCTAAAGCTTTATGGAAACGCTCATTCTCTCTTTCTTGGACTCGGTGAGGCCTGTTTGATCTCGTCCTGGCTTGCAATTCTTCATTTATGAATGACATGGATGTGCCGTTCGCCTCATTGATAAAGTGATTCTGGCCGGCTTTCAAAATTAATAAAAAGGTAAATATGAAAGATATTAGATATGGCAGAGCGTTCAAAACAATTGTAGTGAGTGAAGCATTTTTCACATTGAGGACAAAAAGAGCCATTAGTCCAGTTAGTGGTTAAGGCATCAAGCTAGAAAGCAGGAAAGTGAGTTCTAGTCCCGCCTTAGGCATGAAAGCCAGCTGGGTGACTTTGGGCCAATCACCAGGAGACGGGGAGTTCTAGTCCCACCTTAGACATGAAAGCCAGCTGGGTGACTTTGGGCCAATCACCAGGAGACGGGGAGTTCTAGTCCCGCCTTAGACATGAAAGCCAGCTGGGTGGCTTTGGGCCAATCACCAGGAGATGGTGAGTTCTAGTCCTGCCTTAAGCACAAAATCCGTTTGGGTGACTTTGGGCCAATCACCAGGAGACAGGGAGTTATAGTCCCGCCTTAGGCATGAAAGCCAACTGGGTGACTATGGACCAATCACCAGGAGACAGTGAGTTCTAGTCCCGCCTTAGACATGAAAGCCAGCTGGGTGACTCTGGGCCAATCACCAGGAGACGGGGAGTTCTAATCCCGCCTTAGGCATGAAAGCCAACTGGGTGACTATGGACCAATCACCAGGAGACAGGGAGTTCTAGTCCCGCCTTAGGCATGAAAGCCAGCTGGGTGACTGGGCGAGTCCCTCCCTCTCAGCTCAACCCCCCTTACAGAGTAGCTCTTAAGCTTTTATCATTTTGGGGCTTTTCAAAATGTTTTATGGATTACCGAGTTACGATGCCGTTTTCCGCTAGGATAAAAGAAACGGAAGAGTTGGCAGCTCGGATGAGTTTCTGCAGCTGGACGAGAAGCGGGCTTCTCTGCTCGGTTGTATGGCTGGTGAACACCACGTTACTCACTAAACCTGCCAAGGAAAAAAGGCCATCAATGCAAGGACAAGAACACTCTGTTCTTTGGCCTTTCAGAATGCCATTTTGCAAAGCAGAGGTGGGGAGCGATGACCCCTTTATGACCTGTGGACTTCGACTCCCAGAATTCCTCAGGCAGCCATGCTGGCTGAGGAATTCTGGGAGTTGAAGTCCACAAGTCATAAAAGGCCGGTCATTCCCTCATGCTGGCTGAGGAATTCTGGGAGTTGAAGTCCACAAGTCATAAATGGACCATAGTTCCCTCATGCTGGCTGAGGAATTCTGGGAGTTGAAGTCCACAAGTCATAAAAGGCCCGTCATTCCCTCATGCTGGCTGGGGAATTCTGGGAGTTGAAGTCCACAAATTATAAAAGGGCTATTATCTGTCGCCACTCCCCCCCCCCCCGGTGCTTGTTGGGGAATTCTGGGAGTTGAAAGTCCACAAGTCTTAAATTCAAAGGTGCTTTTATTTCAAGACTCAACTGGATTTCCTTGTTTTGAGTTGAAGACGTTTCGCTTCACATCCAAGAAGCTTCTTCAGCTCTGACCGAATGGAAGGGAGTGGAAAGATCCAGTCAGAGCTGAAGAAGCTTCCTGGAGGAGGAGTGAAAGGTCTTCAAAGAAAAACAAGAAAGTCCAGCTGCCTCTTGAAAAAAAAAAAAAAAGCTCCTTTGGGATAACCAGGCCCTGAATGAGTGAGAATCTCCGCGGACAGAAGTCTTAAAGTTGCAAAGTTTGGAAAAACCTCGCTCTATCCGTTTGTGGCATTATGGCTGACTCCTTCAAACGGGCCTTTCTGAAAAAGATGGCCGCTATTCCCCGGATCGTGCGGCTTTCGTTTAACTGAGGGTTTATGGGCGTCACACTGCAGGGTGCCAGTTCATCTCTACAACAAGCCAACTTTGGAGAAATACTGACCTTGGGAACACTGGTCCAGAAACTTGGGGAAAAGAAACCTGAAAAAGACAAGGATGAGCGTGGGAAAACTCTGTAGTCCGAACTTTAGAGAGAGTTCATCCTTGACAAGCATCTTCTCGGGATTCAAATTCGATTCTGCAGGCTCTGACATTTTGATAGTGAACGTACTTCTAGGCTGAAAACTCAAGGGAATACGACTGAATAAGGAACCTGTTGGGTTTAAGCCTTTAAACCTGTGTTCCTCAACCTTGGAAATTTGAAGATGTGTGGACTTCATGTCCCAGAATTCCCCAGACAGCTGTGCTGGCTGGGGAATTCTGGGACATGAAGTCCACACATCTTCAATTTCCCAAGGTGAGGAAACGTTACTTTAATCACTTCCCTTCTGCAGATACTTTGCTGTGTTCTTCAAGCTAACGGAAGCCAACTGAGATCCACTAATTTTATCCGTTCTTGGGTAACCGCAGCCACTTTGGCCTAATTTGCGGCCTCTAAATTGGAATCTTTTAAGACGTGTGGAGTAAATACTGCAAAGAGAGTAAGAGATGATGGTTAAAGACAGGGGTGGAATTCAAACATGTTAACAACCGGTTCTGTGGGCGTGGCTTAGGTGGTGGGCATGGCTTGGTGGTCATGTGACTGGCTGGGTGTGGCCAACTCAATATCACTCACATCGAGGCACGCATCTCCTTGCCTGGCCTCTCGTGACTGTGGGGATGCTGCAAGTGTGAAAAAGGATCATAAGTCACTTTGTTCAGTGCCATTGTGACTTGGAATGGTCCCTCCACACAAGCAAAGTACCAGCAAAGGAGGGGAAAAAATTCCAGAGAAGTTCCTGAGACAGGAAGTCTAGTCCTGCCAAGAATGTCATAAGGGTTAACGGAGAGGCAGTTTCTGTAAGCAACACCAGAATGTTTCCTTCCTGCCTTCCTTACAGGATTAGCCCAGTCATTTCTTCTAACAACCGGTTCTCCGAACTGCTTAGAAGGTTAACAACCAGTTCTAGCGAAGAGGTGCGAACCTGTAGAATCCCACCTCTGGTTAAAGAGAGAAAGGATAGAGATTCCACATGAAGAAGTGTTATAGGAGTTAAGATATATAGTGATTAATTCTGATAAAATGGGGAAAATGGGGAATCAATCCTTATTATTCAACTGTGCCTGGCTGGGGAATTCTGGGAGATGAAGTCCACACGTCTTAAAAAGTTGCCAAGTTTTGGAGACCACTCCGTTCAGGCCTCAAAGTAGAAAGCAGGAGACCGGATTTGGGAATCCCACCTTAGCCATGATGGGTGCCTTTGGGCTATTCACTCTCTCCCTCAGGGTGGTCGTTGTGGGCGAAAGAGGAGGAGGAAGGTGTGCTGAATATATTGAGTTATTTGTAAAAAAAAAAAAAAAAAAAACAATGAAGGGATACAAAAAAAAATGAGCTGCCTTCCACAACAGCCTCAACTTTCTTACGTGGGAGGAAATTAATTGCCCACACCTGACCTGCAAGAACAGTGTTCTGACCCAAACCTGGTTCCCAGAGAGCAAACAGGAGACAAAGGTACCAGCACCACCTTTTACTGTTTCATTTACGAATCCTGTTTCTTCACAGATAAAAAGGCTGCTTCCAATTAATTTAAGTTTTTACAAGGCTGCCAAGAACAACTGATAAAGTTCCTAAACTATAAATCAAAGAGTCTCCAAACACCAGCCAAGATATTCCGAACGTCCACCAGGCTTGAGTGCAAAACCATCTTTGCTTCCTGCAAAGAACTCCGGTTTCTCAGCTGGCTTTTATCTCTTACGGGAGGGGCCATTACCTTGCAGCCTTACTCCCGAGTCACCGAGCAGCCCTGCGCGCACTGGGAACAGGCTCCTCGGGGTCCTCTTCCTCACTGCTGCCAGCCTCCACCATCTCCGAAGGCCGCACTCCCCTCCCTGATGGTCCTGGCCCCATCCCTCCATCCCACGCAGGCCCCTCATCTGAGTCCTCGCTCTCCGAGACCTCAGCCGTCCACACCTGCTGCCGGCGAACCACAACAAACAGGCACCTGAGCATGGAGACGGGTTGCGTACCTGTGTTCCATGTAAGAGCTGAGGGGTTCAACACACGTTGTGACTGCGCCAATCGCAAAGGAGGCCTTCACGTCTACGTCCGGGTGAGTCTGAAGGGCCTGGACAACGTCAATCACGTCAGTGTATCTGTAGAGAATAGAATAGAATTTAGTTTACTTTATTGTCATTGCACCTCGCACAGTGAAATTAAATGCCCATCTTCAGTGTACATTATGACCATGAAAATGAACACAAACACGCATCCTTCGCATTCTGTACATTGAATTGAAAACCTCTGATATTGCATTAATATTGCACTATACAGAAGAATTCAACAGAGCTCCTGCCCTGGGATAGAAGCTGTTTTTCAGCCTATTTGTCCCTGTTTTTATTATTATCCTGAACCGTCTGCCAGATGGTAATAGTTCAAAAAAAGGGGTTGCCCAGGATGAGATGGATCTTTAAGAATGTTTTGAACTTTCTTAAGGCAGCAGGAGCTCTAAAGCTCTTCCAAAGAGGGGAGAGGGCAACCCATGATCTTCTGGGCTATGACATTAAACCCTCTGGAGCGCTGTCCTATCTGCCCCTGTGCAATTGGCAAACCATGCACAGGTATGCAGTAAGTTAAAATGCTCTCTCTGGTGTAGCGGTAGAAGATCACCAGCAGTTGTTCATTCAGTTGTTGTTTCCTGAGAAGTCTCAGGTAGTCTAATCTCTGCTGGGCCTTTTAATTCTTTATTGGCCAAGTGTGATTGGGCACACAAGGAATTTGTCTTGGTGCAGATGCTCACAGTGTACATTAAAAAAAAGAGACATTCGTCAAGAGTCAAGAATCATGAGGTACAACACTTAATAATAGCCATAGGGTACAAATAAGCCATCAAATCATACTAGGAAACAGAGAGTAGGGTAGAGTAGAGTAAAATAGAGTAGAATAGAATAGAACAGAACAGAACAGAATTTTTTCTTGGCCAAGTGTGGTTGGACACACAAGGAATTTGTCTTGGTGGAAATGCTCTCAGTGTACATAAAGAAAAAATAAAATACATTCGTCAAGAGTCATCAGGTACAACAGTTAATAATAGTCACAAGGTACAATAAGCCATCAAATCAGACTGGGAAACAGTCCATATAAATCGTAAGGATACAAGCGACAAAGTTACCATCATACAGTCACAAGTGGGAGGGGATGGGCGATAGGAAGGATGGGAGGAGTAATAGTAATAGTAACATCAAGCAAAGTCAATGGGGGGGGAAGCTGGATTCGCTTAACGACCGTGTGACTGACTAAACAACTGAAGTGATTCACTTTCTGTAAAATCAGACTCATTTAACAACCGGTTTGGGAAATCCAGTCCCTTACACCCAGCTGGTGTTGTAAGAGGAAAACTACTACCTGTATAGATGGTTCTCGACTTAAAACCATTTGTTTAGTCACCAAAGTTAAAATGGCACTGGAAAAAGTAACTTCACACTTATGACTGTTGCATTTCTGTGATCACGTGATCAAAATTTGGAGATTTGGCAACCGACTTTGATTTATGATGGTTACAGAGTCCTGTAATCAACACTTGACAAGCGAAGTCAACGGGGAAGCCAGATTCACATAATAAAGGTGTTACTAACAACTGCAGTGGGTTGTGGCTTGTCCAGAAGCCAAATCGGAGGAGGAGGAAGAGGAGGAGGAGGAGGAGGAGGAGGAGGAGTGTGAGTCAGGTCGGCATCAAGGCAACCTGGGAGCTCTGAGGTGGAAGCGGAAATGGAGCTGGCAGAGAGAGAGAGAGAGAGAGAGAGAGAGAAAGAGGCAGAGTCTGGGCCGGCCGGCCGCAGAAGGCAGAGGAGAGGAGAGCCGTGGAAATCTATGGGCCGGTCCTTGGGACAGAAAAGCCACCGCTGCTAGCAAGACCCCACTCGAGCTCTGGGGATCAAAGGCAGTGGGGGGCGGTGATGAACAGGTGTGGCAGGCAACTATTCATCTTCCAGCCAGATGGTCTGGTTAGCCTGCGGTGAGAGAGAAACGTTTTGCCGGGGCTGCTAAGAAAGGAACCTTTTGAGTTCACCTCACACGGTCTGTCGTGTTTGGGGAGCTGGGTCAGAACACAGTGATTTGCTTAACAACTGAGGCAAGAAGTGTGGTAAAATGGGGCAAAACATAAATATAGCCACGTAAATTTGGGGGCTCAGTTGTGCTCATAAGTTGTAAGGACCAGGGGTGGGATTCAAATTTCTTGATAACTGGTTCCGTGGGCAATTGATAACTAATTTGTGGGCGTGGCTTGGTGGTCGTGTGACTGGGTGGGCGTGGCTGGTATGTAAATATTATATTTGTGTAAATATTGAATTTTTTTATATATAAAAAAGAGCAACCTTTCCCCAAAATCAGGCAAAGCAGAGGCAGGCAGATTGAGCTGCACCCAGAATCACAGATTCATTCAGAGATCTATCTTTCTGCAATCTGCTGCCCGAGTCTACACTGAAAAATAGAAGCTTCAGTCCTAAAGAAGGTTCAGCACTGCGTTTTGATTAGGTAGAAAGCAAGACATCCAACAATTTCCTGCTTCCTAGCTAATCTAAACAGGCATGATATTCCACTCTGAAAAAAAAAATCGGGGCCGGCCGAAAGAGACGCCCCGCTGCGCGCCAAGAAATCGCACACACAACACCAACGCTACACACCCTTCCTTTCCAGCCGGTCAGGTGTGGATCAGCTCCGGAACTGGGCAGCTGTTTCCCTGGTGGTGGGGCCAAGGCCGCCGCCCGGAGAGCGTCCGCTGCTTTCCCTCGCCAGGGCCGGGCGGTGGCGTGTTGCACGGAGGCTGGTCTGCGGCTGCCCAACTCCCTTTTCCTGCCACTCAGCGGCCTCCACTCACATCGCCTGGGCTCCGCTCAGGTATCCGGCTGGAGCTGTCAGGAGTTGCTACCGCCGGCGCGGCTCCGCGTAGCTCCAGTCCCGCGTTGCCTCGGGAAGGGAAAGGCAAAACCGGGAGCCGCTGCTGCCGTTGCAAAGCGCCGCCGCGGCTCTTCCTTTTTGACCTTTCCCTTCCCGAGGCAACGCGGGACTGGAGCCGCGCGGAGCCGCGCCGGCGGTAGCAACTCCTGACTTGGGGCCTCCGAGGGGAGGGGAAGGAGGAGAAGAAGGGGGTGGGGGGAAAGGATGGAGGGGGCGATTCCCCCAAAAATCAGAATTCCAATTTTAATCGGAAGAATATCATGTCTGTCTAAATCTCCCGGCACAGCAGAACAGTTGATGGTTGAGGGGGAAAAAAAGGGGGGGAAATAGCAACTTACCAAAAAGGCAAGTTTGATGGTGCTCATGTCAGGTAAGGAGTGAGTGGGCGAGGAGTGGCGGTGCCAGCCAAGTGGCGTGATTTGCCAGTTCTCTGAACTGCGCAGAATCCTAACAACCGGTTCCATAGAACCAGTCCGACCAGGAAGAATCCCACCCCTAGTAAGGACTACCTGTTGAAAGAACACAAAACTCCCCTTCCTCCCGCCACCCACAGATGCAGTCATGGGAATTTGTTTAAATAAATGCATCTTAGCGGCCTCTAGAAAAGGCCATCGAGCTGTGATTTGACTTCCTGGGCAAAAAGTACCAGCACTTGGTTTGATCACAGAGTCGGGATTGTGAAGCTGCTGAGCTCAACCTTCTTCTCGGGGCCAGGATTCAAATCCCAGCCTCTCCGACAGATGGACCTCCAGCCTCCGACTGAACCCATGGCAGGGGAGGTTAGCCCGCCGCACTCGGGGTCACGGGCCCCACTGTTGTCAAATCACTGTCAGTGCAAGGGGTGGTTATACGACCTGCTCTCGGTTGCTCTGCAACCCACGACATGCAACCACCCAGGGTTGCGTATCGTGGGTTGTAGAGGAACCGAGAGCAGGTCGTAACCTGCGTTGACACCCTTTCGAAAATGCCCTCCTCTGCTCTCTCTTCTCTCGGCCCTCGCTTCTCATGGCTAAATCTGCCACCTCTCCTTCGGTCGTTTTTGAGGCAGGATTTCGTTTCTGCTTCTGAGAGAAAACCATGTTTGTGGCCCAGGGCTGAATGGGGGGGGGGGGGGGGGGGGGGGGGGGGGGGGCTTGCTGCTTCCTGAGCTTCGTGGTTTTCTGCCAGCTGTCGTATGACCCAACTAGGGAACCTCATCGATGCTAGAAGGGAGGGAAGGGTTGCGGAGAGGAGGAGGGGAAAAAAAGGACTGGAGTCCTTTCTGAGTTTGGTTGTGTTCTTGCAGACATTTCATGACCCGGCTAGGTAACGTCATCAGTTCTAGAAAGGAGTGGGATTTGCATAGAGGAGGAGGAGGAGAAAGAGGAGGAGGAGAATGAGAATTGCAGTGTCCTTGGTGCTCTCTGAGACATTTCATGACCCAACTAGGTAACCTCGTCAGTTCTAGAAAGGAGTGGGATTTGCAGAGAGGAGGAGGAGGAAAAAGAGGAGGAGGAGAATGAGAATTGCGGTGTCCTTGGTGCTCTCTGAGACATTTCATGACCCAACTAGGTAACATCGTCAGTTCTAGAAGGGAATAGGCTTTGCGGAGAGGAGAGGAGGAGGAGGAGGAGGGAGAGGGTATCCTTGGTGCTGGTAGTTTTCTTGCAAACATTTCACCCTCAAACTAAGTAAAGTCATCCATGCTAGAAGGGAGTGGGGTTTGCAGAGTGGAAGGGAAGAGGAGGAGGTGCGGGACAATGACCGTAGGATCCTTGATTTTTTCTGAGTTTGGTTGTGTTCTTGCAGACATTTCATTACCCAACTAGGTAACATCATCACTTCTGGGGGGGGGGGGGGGTTTTCAGGGAGGAAGAGGAGAAAGAGGAGGAGGAGAATGGGAATTGCGGTGTCCTTGGTTCTTTCGGAGCCTGGTTGTTTTCTTGCAGACATTTGGGGCTCAACTGAGATGGTAAGTCCAGGACTCCTTGTTGTCATTTGCTTAGAGCTGGTCAGCTCCGTTTGATCTGTTCCAGATGTGCTCGACTGCAACCCAGATACTGATTGGGGGAGAGCAGGGGAAAGAGGGCACTTTACTCCAGCACATGGGTCTCCAACCTTGGCAACTTTAAGACTTGTGGACTTCAACTCCCAGAATTCTTCCTCCTCCGGTCATGTTAGCTCAGGAATTCTGGGAGTTGAAGTCCACAAGTCCGAAACTGACCAAGTTTGAATGCCCTTGTGATAGATGATGGATGGATGGATGGATAGATAGAGATGGATGGATGGATGGATAAGATAGATAGATAGATAGATAGATAGATAGATAGATAGATAGATAGATAGATAGATAGATAGATAGAGCTGGATGGATGGGGAGACGACAGACAGACAGACAGACAGACAGACAGACAGACAGACAGACAGACAGACAGATGATAGAATTCAGGCACCTTCAAACTTGACCGCTTTAAGACTTGTGGACTTCAACTCCCAGAATTCCTCCTCCAGTCATGTTAGCTCAGGAATTCTGGGAGTTGAAGTCCACAAGTCCAAAACTGACCAAGTTTGAAGGCCCTTGTGATAGATGATGGATGGATGGATGGATAGATAGAGATGGATGGATGGATAAGATAGATAGATAGATAGATAGACAGACAGACAGACAGACAGACAGACAGACAGACAGACAGATAGATAGATAGATAGATAGAGCTGGATGGCTGGGGAGACGATAGACAGACAGACAGATAGAAATGATAGAATTCAGGGGTCTTCAAACTTGACAGCTTTAAGACTTGTGGACTTCAACTCCCAGAATTCCTCCTCCAGTCATGTTAGCTCAGGAATTCTGGGTGTTGAAGTTCACAAGACTTAAACTTGCCAAGTTTGAAGGCCCTTGGCGTGGAGGGACTGTTTGCATTTTTTTTCCAAGGAATGCCAGCTGGCTCACCTTTCAGATTCTTGATTCTGGACACAAAGACCCCTCCAAACGCAACCAGGAAGTCCTTTGCCATTTTCATTTATTTTATTTATCAAAATGGGGTTAGGCCAGCAATAGAGGAAAGGGATGTGGCCTCTTTTTTTGTTGGTTTCCCTCATCAAATCCATCTTTTTAGCAAATGGGATACAGCTGCTGGATTGTGGGAAGGTTAGATCAGATAGCTGGCTGGCTGAGGAATTCTGGGAGTTGAAGTCCACAAGTCTTAAAGATGCCAAGTTTGGGGACCCCAGGATTACATTAACAGAGTTGGAAGGGACCTTGTAGGTCATCTAGGCCAGTGGTCGCCACCAGTGGGCCGGGGACCACTGGTGGTCCTCAAGAAAATTTTGGTGGTCTGCAAAGAAATGTCACCCCCAAAGCAATTAAGCCAGGCTGTGCAGGAACACAAGGCTGCACCGCCCACATGGCCTGTGGGAACACAAGGCTTGCGTTGTTTGCATTGCACACAACACGAGGTAGTGAGGGGAGGGGGGAAGGGCGGAGGGGGAAGAACTTGCCCCACTCGCCCCACGCGCCTGGCCTGGCCACCGGGCTGCTTCTTTCTGCTTCTTTCTTCTTCTGCTTTTGGCTGCGCGCAAGGAAAGCAGCCAAACTCTTTCTTTCTCTGCCCCAAACTCCGCCAGAAATGAGTCTTTGCGACCCTGCAAGGCCTCCTGCTCCAAGAGGCTGCGCCAGCAAAGACTCGTTTCTGGCGGAGTTTGGGGGCGAGAAAGAAAGACTTCTGCGGCTTCTGCTGTTTTCCTTGCAGGAAGCCAAAAGTCTCTCTCTCTTTCTCTCTCTCTCTCTCTCCCTCTAAGAACGGAGCTGGAGACGGTCTCCTGCGATCCCCAATAAAGAAAGATCGATCGGTAGGAAAACGGGGTGGGGAATTTTCCTGCAGACTTTTGGGGGGATTTTCCCGGGGTCTCTGGTCCCACGGGATTTAAAATGATGAGTTTGGTGGTCCCTGAGGTCCAAAAGGTTGGCGACCCCTGGACTAGTCCAACCTACCGCCCAAGCAGGAGACCCTACACCATTTCTGAGAAGTGGCAGCCTCCCGAAAAGTCTGTTGGGATCATCCCGATGTGCGTTTTTGGCAACCACGTGAATACATTTATTCCTGGTTACTTGGCCGCATCTGTTGAAGGCCCCAGTCTTATTCTTCATTCCACGCTCCAATTTCGCCGCAAAAGGCTACTGGTTGGGGCTGATCTGTTTTTAAGTTCCACCTCGTTTCCAAAATTAGAAAGGCGTCTAGCCTTTCTAAAGACTTCCCAAGTCTCTTTTACGTTGAGCAAAAGACAGAAGAAATGCCTGCTTTTGACTTTACCTCAACATTTTGAATAGATTTTACACAATACTCTGAAGGTTTCCACACTTCACGCGTAACTACTCCCTTGACTTAAACAGCACTTCCCTTGGGGAAAGAGGTTAAAGCTACTCCACCCAAGATACAATGCTGGCCACATCCTTTTTTGACTACTTTATCTAGGGAATGTGATTTTAATCAAGAATAAGGCCACTCGCTTCCCTGAGGGACTTACTAAAAAAAAACAACAACCATAATATACTTGTCATGTATATTAAAAGCCAGTGGCTTGTTATTAAATATCTTGTGTTTCATAAAATCCATTTTTCCCCTCTTTTCAAAGCTGGCTTGGTTAACCTGAAGTAGAGGCTGTGGGGTTTTTTGGGGAATGGATATGTGTGTGGTAAAAGTATACAGGTAGTCCTTGACTTACGACCATAACTGAGTACTATGTTTCTGTTGCTAAGCAAGACCTCTGTTTGGTGGGTTTTGTCTCATTTTACAATCTTCCTTGCCAAGTCGGTAAGTGGATCGCTGCAGTTGTTAAGTTAGTCACAGGGTTGTCAAGTAAGGTCGCAAAAGGGGGATCACATGACACACACACACCCCCAGGGGCACTGCAAACTGTCATAAATACTAGTCAGTTGCCGAGCGACTGAATTTGGTTCAGGTGACCATGGGAGGTGTGATGCAATGGTCGTTAAGTGTGAAAAACGGTCATAAGTTGCTTTTTTCAGTGCCGCTGCAACTTTGAATGGCCACTAAAAGAACTGTTGTAACTTGAGGACTACATGTACTGTACCCCAAGTAGGATAAAATATTTCATAAGATAAAAGAGATTTTTAAGCACTCCAAGTGGCTTGGTCTTCACTTCTCTTTAACAGACTTGATTCCACTTTAATTATAGTGCCCTGAACCACACGCAGGTAGTCCTCCACTAACAACGGTTTGTTTGAAGTTACAACTGGTTCTCACATTTACAACAGTCACAGCATCTTTCACCGTTACATGACCAGAATTGGGGGGCTTGGAAACTGGCATTTATTTACAAGGGTTGCAAGCATCCTGGAGTCATGTGATCGCTATTTGCTGTAAGACACCCCCCCTCAGAGTCACTTTGAAATGAGATGGCAGCAAATAAATTTGATAGATAGACAGACAGATACAGTCAGACAGACGGACAGACAGAAATAGACAGATATAATATATAGAGAGAGACATATAGATATACAGACAGAGATGGATACATAGACATAGAGATGGGTGGGTGGGTGGGTGGATGGACAGACAGAGAGATGATAGAAAGAAAGAAAGAAAGAAAGAAAGAAAGAAAGAAAGAAAGAAAGAAAGAAAGAAAGAAAGAAAGAAAGAAAGAAAGAAACCACAACGCTGGTAGGCGGGTGAAACCTCTTACCCTTGCAGGACCACCAGCAGCCTCACTTTCTTCCTGTGATAAGCGGAGGGCCGGCTGCTTCGGCTGTGCTGAGATTCAAGGACCCCCGAGAGATACTTCTGGAAGTGGGCGGCACTGAAGCATTCGGGGCTGTCCATGGTCTGGCGATAAACAAGCCACCTGGAGGGAAGGAAGATGGTTTTATGCGCTGCGCTCTCCCCAGCCTGTTCCGTCCCTCAAACCAACCTGCTTAAACGGGAGCACGACAAAGATGAATTTGGCTTCGAATAGGCAAGAGTGACTTGAGGGTCTTCGGTATTTGGTAGTTTTCCTGCAGACGTTTCAGGACCCAACTAGGGAACATCAACAGTGCTAGAAGGGGGTGGGGTTTGCTCTCTCTTAAGGTACAAGTGCTTTGCCTTGCTAATGCTGGCAGGGCTGTGTTGTTGGTTTTTGATAGATCCTTGATTTAGGGAATTGCTGAATTAGGGAATTACCTAATTATGGAACTTTAGCTGTGGTGCTCTCTGAGCTTGGTGGTTTTCTTACAGACATTTCAGGACCCAACTAGGGAACATCATCAGTACTAGAAGGGAGTGGGGTTTGGGAGGAGGAGGAGGAGGAGGAGGAGGAGGAGGAGGAGGAGGAGGAGGAGATAGGAGAACTATAGGATCCTTGGTGCTCTCTGAGCTGGGTGGTTTTTTTGCAGACGTCTCATTACCTAACTAGGTAACATCCTCAATGCTAGAAGGGAGTGGGGTTTGCAGGAGGAGGAGGAGGAGGAGGAGGAGGAGGAGGAGGAGGAGGGCACTGTGGGGTCTCTGGTGCTCTCTAAGCTTGGTAGTTTTCTTGCAGACATTTCATGACCCAACTAGGTAACACCATCAGTGCTAGAAGGGAGTGGGGTTTGTGGTAGAAGAGGAGGAGGAAAAACTGTGGGGTCCTTGGTGCTCTCTGAGCTGGGTGGTTTTCCTGCAGATGTTTCATGACCCAACTAGGAAACATCAGCAGTGCTAGAAGGGAGTGGGGTTTGGGAGGAGGAGGAGGAGGAGGAGGAGGAAGAGGAGCAGGAGGAGGAGGAGGAGGAAGAGGAGGAGGAAACGCAATGGTGTTCTCTGAACTTTTCTTGCAGACGTTTCATTACCAAACTAGGTAACATCATTAGTGCTGGAAGGGAGTGAGACTCGCAAAGGGAAGGAAGTGGGGAGGAGGAAGAGGAGAAGGATGACTGTGGGGCCCTTTATGTTCAGTGGACTCGGTGGGTTGGACTAGAAGACCTCCAAGGTCCCTTCCAACTCTGATATTCTATTTCTATTTCTTTGCAGACATTTCATTAACCAACTAGATGACCTCATGAGCACTGATGACGTTACCTAGTTTGGTAGTGAAATGTCTGCAAGAAAACCACCAAGCTTAGAGAGCACCAAGGTCTCCACCCAAAAATGGTTTATCTGAAATGCTTCGGTCAACTGAACAGCCTCTCTGTAGACGGGACTTCTACACTTGATGCCCCTGCAACGGTCAGAATTCCCACTTTCAAACTGGCTGAGAGCGGAGAGACGCAGTCCCAACATTTCTATAAAGCGCTTAGCTGGAGAAGTAAACATGGCTCCATTTTGCAAAATGTTTGGGGGCACATGTCCTTTCTGGGAGATCTGTCAAGATTACAAGGTGTGTCAGACCAGGAATCGCCAAACTTTCGGACCTCAGGGACCACCAAACTCATCATTTTACAACCTTGCAGACTAGAGACCCTGGGAAAATCCTTAAAAAAGTCTGCAGGAAAATCCCCCACCGCATTTTCCTAGCGATCGATCGTTCTTTCTTTGGGATCGTAGGATACCGTCTCCAGCTCTGTTCTCAGGGGGAGAGAGAGAGAGAGAGGGAGAGACTTTTGGCTTCATGCAAGGAAAACAGCAGAAGCAGCAGAAGTCTTTCTTTCTCTCCCCCCAAACTCCGCCAGAAAGGAGTCTTTGGAGCCAGGAGGCCTTGCAGGGTCGCAAAGACTCATTTCTGGCAGAGTTTGGGGGAGAGAAAGAGAGACTTTTGCTGCTTTCCTTGCGTGCAGCCAAAAGCAGAAGAAGGAAGAAGCAGAAAGAAGCAGCCTGGTGGCCAGGCCAGGCGTGTGGGGCAAGTTCCCCCCGCTCCACCCTTTCCCCTCTCCCCTCACTACCTCATGTTGTTTGTGTTAGGAATACAAGTCACCTAACAGGTATTTGGGTTAGAAATATATAAACCAGGATAAACATTTTAAAACTGTAGCCTTAAGAAAATGCAAAAGTGTAAATGGGTGTGGTTTCTCAAACGGCCATTAGATGGAGCCAGAAACCTGGGTTGTTTTAGTCTTAGTTTCAGAAGTGAGTGTGTCTGAGTGAGTATCTCTGTTTCCTTCTAATGGAAAGTATTGCCGTTCCTCCATTTCTTCTAATTGACTGATATTACTGGATTTAATGTAAGTCTGTTACTGAACTGTTTTTTGACACTGGACTTTGATATTTGGATTATCCCTGGATTGAAAAACTGACCGATTTAACTTGTGAATGACTTTGGAGTGCTTATTTTGGACTTTGCTTGAACCTTTCTGGAAGTAAAAACCTACATTTACTGTACAGTGTATCTGTGTGCTCTGTGTGTATTATTCCAACACTCCTCCCTAAACGTCTCCCTGTATGCGCTCATTCTTCTAACGGGGAATTACCTCAACAGTTTGCAATGCAAGCGACACAAGCCTTGTGTTCCCACAGGCCATGTGGGTGGCGCAGCCTTGTGTTCCTGCACAACCTGGCTTAATTGCTTTGGGGGGGACACTTCTCTGCAGACCACCAAAATTTTCTTGCGGACCACCGGTGGTCCTGGCCCACTGGTTGGCGACCACTGTGTTAGACTGCCCATGATTTCGGCTGAACATACTTTTAATCAACCATCAAGAAAGGACAAAAATAAAAATCAGATTCTACCAACCTTCCATATTCTTTGTTAAACGTGACCAAGAATGAGCATAGCTCACTTGACTGGCATCCAGGAAGGCCCGTCAGGATGGTAATCGTCACCTCAAAAGAGAAAGGAAGGTTAAGATTATGAAACTGTCTTACTTTTTGGGGGGGAAAAATAGTTGTGGACTATCATGATTTAAGCTCAGGACTTGGGGATTCTAAATGTGAAGAAGCTGCTCCTGCTGAACCTGTGGAATATCAGTCTCAGGAGACATCGAGTCCGCAAGCCACAAGGCAGATCAAAAACAATGCCACTGGGACTGCTGGAACAGTCAGACGATGATGGGGTTCTAGTCCTACACACAGGTAGAGAGGACCGCAGAGCGGAGATACCAAGCAAAGGAATAAATCTCTTGATCTGCAGCCTGATTTAAGAGGCAGCTCTGACTCATATTCCTTTTGCTGGAAACAACATCTGAACTTCAGCGCCTGCGTGATGTTCCCGTGAATCCCGTTCCGACAAAGAAACCTTGAACTTCTGACCTCTGGACAGGCTGATAATCCTGATCCTGCTTTCGGAACTTTGGACTGATTTTGGACTATTCTTCTGTGAGCTCCTTTTTAAAAGCCAATCGTTCAGACCAGCATCTGAGACTCTTTTCTAGTTTGCATTCTTTTGTTATCTCTTGACCTTGAATAAACCGAATTACCCCTGTGACTCTGTATGACTCAGTAGTTGAAACCAGAAGGACATAGAAATATTGTAAATCGCGTAAAGCAAAACAGCCACTTGGGGAGATGAAAAGCAAACGCACAATTTACAATGATGACCTTACCTTATCATTCTCTTTCTCATTATTAGGAATGTCCTCAGTCTGCTGCAGAAGAACTGGCAGGTGCAACCTCATCACTGGTTCTTGGCTGACGCTACCAATGGTAAAGTGCTGTAGGAAACTTTGAAGGGATAAGCAGAGTCAGAATTACTCCACTTCACTGTCCTCACATTCAGTCTATTTTTTTTTTCTTTCTTGGAAATGCGCTGGAGGGAATCCTCTGAAGACCCGCTTTATGTCCATGCAGACCAGCCACGATGGAACAGAACTATCTGAAGTGGTTTCATGCTCTAATGACTTTGCCCAACCAATGTTTCTCAACTTTGATGACTTGGGTGGACTTCAACTCCTAGAATTGTCCAGTTAGCTGAATTCTTCTGGGAGTTGGGAATGCACCCATTTTCAAGTTGTCAAGGTTGTGAGACACCGGGTCCGACCCAAACATGAAGCATCTAGGGAACCCTGATTGATCAAAAGAAGCTCATCTAGCGCATCTCGTTAATATTTGAATGAGAGGCAATCTGGGAAAGTATGTGGAACGCAGATCATGGCAAAACTTTTTTTCTTTGCAAAAAAAAAAACTACCTGGGCTTTTGGAGTTAAGTAAAGAAAACTTCACTTGGTACAATCCCAGAAAATTCCCACTCATTCAATGAAAGAGATCTTCATACAGCACAGAGAGGCATCTTGTTCATAAGTACAGCTTCCAAATATTCCCAAAAGTAGGACCAATGACCAGGATGTCCCCAAAGTGCTTTCTTTCCTGGACTTTTTTAAGTTTTTTTTTCCTTCTGAAAACATTTTACTTCTGATCCAAGACGCTTCTTTAGTTCTTCAGGTGAGAAGTGAAATGTTTTCAAAGGAAAAGCCAAGAAAATTCAGTTGCCTTTTCGTAAACAACTGGATGATTGAGAATCTCCGTAGATCGGCGATTTTCAAACCTTGGCAACTTTAGGAGGTGTGGACTTCAACTCCCAGAATTCCCTAGCCAGTACAGCTGGCTGAGGAATTCTGGGAGTTGAAGTCCACACCTCTTTAAAAGTATCCAAGGTTGAGAAAGGTCGCCGTAGACAATGGCAAGGATGCTGGGAAGTGCAGCTGAGCAATGGTGGGTGGGCCGCAGATGACCGACCCATTCATACAATTAAAAGTGACCCAGCTGGACTTCCACGGGATGATCCGAGTTTGGCTCAGAACAAAGGAATGGTGGGAAGCTCTCACCTGGCCAGATCTGGAAGGCTGGTAAGCAGTCTTACTTGGTTCCATCGTTCTCCAGCAGGATGGGACGAGACTTCAAAGAGCTTTTGCATGTTGGAATGTCTAAGGAGGAGGACACTAATGAATTGTTTAGCCCTTACAACTCACGTCAACATCAAAGTGTAAAGACACAACTAGGTCCCAATGCCTTAAGCCAGGGATGTCCAACCAGGGCCACTTTTAAGATTTGTGGACTACAACTCCCAGAATTCCCCAATCAGCACAGCTGGCTGGGGACTTCTGGGAGTTGAAGTCCACAGTTAAAGTTGGCTGGCTGGGGAATTCTGGGAGTTGAAGTCCACAGGTCTTAAAGTTGGCTGGCCCCACGGGGAATTCTGGGAGTCGAAGTCCACGGGTCTTCAAGTGGTCAGGATCGGCCATCCCTGCCTTACACACTAACGGTCAACATGATATAAGTCTACAAGAACATCAAGTCTTTATTTCAACTCTTTCCCCACAGACCCCCGTCCCGGCTTTCTCTCCAATGCTGCTCGTGCAATCATAGAATTGGAATAAAAAGAGAGATCTTTTTACTGGGGATCATACCGGAAATATACAACAAAGAGCTGAAATATTTGATTGTAAATGTTTTAACACAGTGGCTAGAATTGTATTTGCGAAGAACTGTAAAAATGATAAAATACCTATGCAGGAGGAAGTTATCAAGAAAATTATGGACTGTGCTGAAATGAGTAAATGGACATTTGAAATCAGAGAACAAGAAGATAAACCATTTTATACGATATGGGATTTGTTTTATCAATGGCTGGATAAAAAGACATGGTAGTATAATAGAATAGATAATTTTGTTATAGAAGTTTAATAGATTGATATAAAATACAATGTAGACGTATATAACCATTGGATGAAAGCACAACATAAATTTTAAAATAAAATCTGGGATATCTCCTATAAAATGATGGGATAAATAGTTTGGTCATGGATGATTAACAATTGATAAATCTATAAGCATATGTTAGTTTGACAATGTGAGATTGATATAAAATGTGAGCAACGACTATGAAAGCATTGCCCCAAAACATTCGTAACCAACTGACACACTGTATGTATATAAAATGGAAGGTGGTTTTATGTTTTTATGTATTGTTTGTATAGGTTTGTCTTAAAAAATAAAAACTTTATTAATTAAAAAAAAAAGAAAGAACTGGAATAAAAAGCCACTGGCTTACAATCGCTCCTGTTCTGCAGACAGACAATTGTCCTGGATCATTTTTAACGTGACTCCTGTATTTCCCGGCCGTTGCCAGGTGGAAAAAACCTGCAATGACAAAGAAGATCCAACTTACACAATTTCACCGGGCACGTCACCGTTTCAATGAAGCCTGCAGATGGGACTTGTTCGCGAGGCTGATTAGATTAGAATTCATTTATTGGCCAAGTGTGATTGGACACACAAGGCATTTGTCTTCGGTGCAAATGCTCCACTAAAAGAGATCCACGTCAACACTTTTGGATTTTTTTAAAAAACTGCCTAATAATTAGGGTCCAGCAGATTCCTCCACAAGACGTAACGTATCTTCTCTCTCCATCCTGCCAGGAGAGCAAGCAAGTACCCCCAGGTGGTTTACTCTCCACTAAAGCAAAGGAGACGCGTGTTGTGGTTCGCCGGCAGCAGGTGCGGACGGCTGAGGTCTCGGAGAGCGAGGACTCAGATGAGGGAACTGCGTGGGATGGAGGGACGGGGCCAGGACCATCAGGGAGGGAAGTGCTACCTTCGGAGATTGTGGAGGCTGGCAGCAGTGAGGAAGAGGCCCCCGAGGAGCCTGTGCCCAGGCGCAGGCCTGCTCGCAGGAAAGCACAGCTGCAGCAGCATGGGCGACTCGGGAGTAAGGCTGCAAGGTGATGGCCCCTCCCTTAAGGGATAAAAGCCAGCCCTCAGAGGTGGAATTCTTTGCAGGAAGCAACGAAGTTCTTGTACTTCAAGCCTGGTGGATGTTCGGACTATCCTGGTTTGTGTTTAGAGACTCTTTGGGTTTGGAATATTTCCTTGCAATTTAATCTAGTGTTTTTGGCAGCTTTGCACAACCTTGGCAAGGCCTGTTCTTCTCTGGGACAATTCGCTTTTAAGAGTGTTTCACTATGAATGAACGGAATTCATGGAGAAGCACTAAAAAGGTTTTGCTTTTATCTCTGTTTGGTATTTGTTTGCTTTGAACGAGGCCTGGCACAAAGGCCACACAGCCGGATAATCAGTAGGAGTCCCTTTAATGCCTCCAACTTTGCCCCCAGTGTCCTGGTTACATTCTGGGCTGGAGAAAAAACTCTCCCAGGAACAGCTTTTAAGTGGAGGAAATTCAGTCCGAAAACAAAGTACAAACTGTAAATAAAAATCCGCACAAACCAGGCTGCAGTAATTAACTGGACGGGGCGGGAGAAGGAATTGCAGACTTGAAAGGCCAGCAAAACACACAGTTGGGAAGACGCCAGGAACCCAGAAAAGCCTTGACAATACAGATAACTCATGATTTGCTCTCAACAGTTTGCTGTGTGCAACTTCCCTTTTTAAACCCTGTTCCCAGCTGCAGCTAATGAAGGGAATCAGGGCCCTTCCCTCCCCCATAAGCCACGCAACCCAAGTTGCTCCCTTCTCCGTTCCTCCCTGCATGCCCTAGGATGAAGAGGGGGTGGGCCTGGGTCTTCCTCCAAATTCCCTCTCCCTTGTTCTACCTCTCCCCCTCCTCTGCCCAGCTGGACTTTGCCCTTCCCCAGTTTCCTCCACAGCCAATGGAGCCAGACTCCCAGTCCCTGTTAGTTGCTCGGCCTCCCCCTCCAAATCAGATTCCAACAGGGTCATGACACCAGAGCACGACTGACGTTACCTGGGAATAGAAAGCTTTATAAAGGGCTGACTTTGGGAAAACTGCAATCATCAGGACGTTGTTTGGGGTGTGCAGCTGGACTGGCAAATGAGGAAGCAGAGAAGGTTTGTATTCTATAAAGAGCGAGGCAACCACACTGGTGGAATCCTAAAACACGAGGAAAAAAAGAAAAGGGGGAAAAATGGATAGAGATTCTGATATAAATTACAGCAAGGAGGAAGTTTATAATCCTCCTTTTTGGTCCTTCGGGCCTCCAAGATGCATCCAGTCAATGCTCCATTATGCAGAAGTCAGGAAAACAGTATTTTCATTGCTGGTTTTAAAGCACAAGAATTAGTACCTCTGTTAGGAATATAAGTCACCTAACAGGTATTTGGGTTAGAAATATATAAACCAGGATAAACATTTTAGTACTATGTCTTTAAGAGATTGCAAAAACTGCAATTGGGTGTGGTTTCTCAAACGGCCATAAGATGGGGCCAGAAACCTGGATTGTCTTAGTCTTAGTCTCAGAAGAGAGTGAGTATCTCTGTTTCCTTCTGTTGGAAAGTATTGCCGTTCCTCCATTTTTCCTAATTGACTGATATTACTGGATTTAATGTAACTCTGATACTGAACTGTTTTTGACGCTGGACTTTGATATTTGGATTATCCCTGGATTGAAAAACTGACTGATTTACCCGTGAATGACTTTTGGACTGCTTATCTTGAACTTTGCTGAAACTTTCTGGAAGTAAAAACCTACATTTACGGTACAGTGTATCTGTGTGCTGTGTGTGTATTATTCCAACGCTCCTCTCAAATACGTCTCCCTGTATGCGCTCATTCTCCTAACGGGGAATTACCTCAACGACCTCCCTTGATCTTGACTGTATCCCTCCGTTAATACAATTTAGGATTTAGGATTGCATTGACTTATTTTGGCTGCTGCTGCATACTCTTAGCTCACAGCAGAATATAAACTGACAGCAAACTGCACTCCTTACTATCACTGATGTTACCTCGAAGGGTAATGAAATGTCTGCAGCAAAACAAGCAAGGACCCCTCAAACATTCATAACCTTCTGTCAGTCTGATATGTGGAAAGATTGGGGAACGATGACGTCAGAATTTCTGGGGAGAAATGTCTCTTGTATTGGACAATTACTTTCCATCAGATAACAGATAATCAGAGTTGGAAGGGACCTTGGAGGTCATCTAGTCCAACCCCCACCCCCACCCAAGCGGGAGACCCTACACCTTTTCTGACCAATGGCAGTCCAACCTCTTCTTGAAAGATGTTAAGTCAAGATTGAAAATTGCCAAGAAAGGAAGAGAAACAACAACGTGCTTTAAACAGAGGATCTTCCAGGTGAACCTAGACTATAAAGCCTAGCATTCTCAGCCAACATGGGAGTTGTAGCACCAGCATAGTTGGAAAAATAACAGCAGGGTAAAGTCAAACTAAAATTCTGGCTTGCTCAACTAACCATGGGAACCAGTGCGGAATATCTCTGGAGCAAAGCAACTCAGTTACTCTATTTTATTTAAAAAAATAAATTTAAACACCAGGCAACTTTAAGATATCTGGACTTCAGCACCCAGAATTCCCCAGCCAGCATTATGGCTAAGGCACTAGGCTAGAAACCAGGCGATGGTGAGTTCAAGTTCTGCCTTAGTATATAAGGTGACCTTGGGCCAGCTCACCTCTCTCTCTCTCTCCCTCAACTCGCCCAACTCGCCTCACCGGGTTGTTGTTGTGGGGAAACTAGGAAGAGGAAGGGGTGTCGGATAGGTTTGCCAGCTTGCGGTTATTTGCAAAAATAATAAAAGTGGGACGTAAACACAAGGAGACATGAAGAAATACTGCATTGCTGAGCTGGCTGGGGAATTCTGGGAGTTGAAGTCCACATGTCTTCAGAGTTGCCGAGTTTGAAAAACCACAGCTATACATCTATCTAATTGAAGAGGATATTTGTAGCTCTGTTTTGAACTTATGGGGTCGTTGGTGCTCTCTGAGCTTGGTGGTTTTCTTGCAGACCTTTCATGACCCAGCTAGATAACCTAGTCAGTGCTAGAAGAGTGTGGGGTATGGAATGGAGAGGAGGGGGAGGAGGACTGTGGGATCCTTGGTGCTCTGAACATGGTTGTTTTCTTGCACAGACACATCTCTTTCACTTACTCACTCACTCACACACATCTCTCTTTCTCTCTCTCTCTCTTACACATACACAGATAACGGATAATCAGAGTTGGAAGGGACCTTATAGGTCATCTAGTCCAACCCTCCACCCAAGCTGGAGACCCTACACCATTTCTGACAGATGGGAGTCCAGTCTCTTCTTGCAAGTCTCAAGTGATGAAGCTCCCACAACTTCTGAGGGCAACTTCTGTTCCATGGGTTGATTGTTCTCCCTGTCAGAAAGTTTCTCCTTATTTCCAGGTTGAATCTCTCCTTGATCAGCTTCCACCCTTTATTCCTTGTCTGGCCTTCAGATGCCTTGGAAAATAGCTTGACCCCCTCCTCCTCCTCTCTGTGGCAGCCCCTCAAATATTGGAAGATGCTCTCCGGTCTCCCCTGGTCCTTCTCTTCACCAGACTAGCCAGGCCCAGTTCCTGTAACCATCCATCGTATGTTTTAGTCTCCAGTCCCCTAATCATCCTGGTTGCTCTTCTCTGCTCTTTTTCTAGAGTCTCAACCTCTTTTTTATAGTGTGGTGACCAAAACTGGATGCAGCACTCTACACCAGGGGTCTCCAACCTTGGCCACTTTCAGACTTGTGGACTTCAACTCCCAGAAATCTTAAAGTAGCCAAGGTTGGAGACCCCTGCTTTACATTACACACTGAGATATTTCATGACCCAACTAGGTTACATCACCAGTGCTAGAAGAGTGTGGGGTATGAAATGGGGAGGAGTGGGAGGAGGACTGTGGGATCCTTGGTGCTCTCTGAACATGGTTGTTTTCTGGCACAGACACATCTCTTTCACTTCCTCACTCACATACAAACACACACCTCTCTCTCTCTCTCTTACACATACACACACATGGATATTTCACAACCCAACTAGGTAACATCATCAGCGCTAGAGTGAGGTTTGCAGGGAAGAAGAGAAGGATAAAGAAGAGGAGAAGGAGGAGAAGGGGGTGGGGGAAGACCGTCTGATCCTTGATATTCTCCACGCTTGATCGTTTTTTCTTGGAGACATTTCATTATCCAACTAAGTAACAGCATCAGCTCCAGAACATCTTATTCCAGGTGCTAGGAACAGGGGCCTGTGGAGTCCATGCAACAATTCAGCTGAAATCTGTCATATTCAAGACCCTTGGCTGACAAACTAAGTTGGCTGGAACCGCATGTCTTTTCCTAGATGCCTCTCTCGATGTATAAAAAGCAAACATACAAACAAAACCCGGGCACTGAAGAGAAAAACACACCCTTGTGTACTCATTTCCATGGAAATCAAGCCTCTTATCTTTCCTCCCCCCCCCTTTTTTTTTAAAATCCATGTCCCCAACCCAGGCTGCCCTGTTGTTGCCTCCTTTGTGTTATTTTTAGCTGTTGCAGCCTCCACCCCTCTGCGAAGACAATACGAATTCCCTTTCAAGGATTTTTCCGCTTTGGACCAAAATAAAAAAAATAAAAATAAAAATAAAATAAACCTGGCTACGGTTTCAGGAGTGACAAGAGGGTCACATAAATAGCCCCAAGGGGCCGTTGAGAGAAAAATGAAGATTTTGAAACCCAACAATAGGAAAAGGAGGTCAAGTCCCAGCTGGTTTGGGTTTTTTTTTTGCAAGACTTACAAAGAAGGGACTGGAGAAGGAGAGGAACTGAAAGGGGGAAAAAAAATACAGAAAAAGTTTTTGCTTCGGGGTTTTTGGGTTTTTTTTTTTGCAGATTTAATCAGAGCGAACAAGGTTCCTTCGCAGAGAAGGAATAACACACATACACACAGTTTCTCTCTCACACATCTCTCTCTCACGGATGTGTCTGTATTATATACATATGACTCTCAAAAACACGCCTTTCTCCCTCACACACGCACACATATTTTTCATAGGCACACCTCACACATGCAGACACAAATGCCTGTCACACAAACACAAACTCTCTCACACGAACACAAGTGTTTCTCTCTCACACACAAACACACCTTTATCACACACATGGAAACACACACTTACACTCGTACACTATTTTTTTACACACAAACAACCCACATCTCTTTTACACACAAACATCTCTTATATAGTCTGTCTCTCACAGAAACACACCTTTGTCATATACACACACGTCTCTCACACAAACTCACACGTCTCTCTCACATACAAATTCTCACACACACACCTCACACAAACATCTGTCTCTCTCTCTCACACACAATCATCTCACACATACGATCTCTATCACACTCATACCTCTCACACACAAACATCTCCGTTTCTCGCATACACATACAAACTTCTGCCTCACACACCTCTCTCTTATACACACACACACAAACCTCTCTCTCTCTCTCTCTCTCACACACACACACACCACACAGATATGCTGGCTGGGGGATTATGGGAACTGAAGTCCACACATCTTAAAGTTTCCAACTTTTAGAACCAGTTCAATTCTAGCTGAAATGCCTCATGAATCCCCAGTTCCTTTCTTCTATAGCCAGGCTGCTTCTCGTGCCTTAACCGTGGTTAAATCCCCGTCCTGCAGTGACTTTCATCCTGGCTAAAGCTTTGATCCAAAGTTCTGGATGGAGCTCTAGAACGGAGGAGGCCGCTTCAGTTCCCACTCTAGAGGATTGGACGGGATCGGGGTGGAGGGTGGGGGAAGGGCTGCGGATCTTGTTCCTAATTTTCAGGGGGAATCCACTGATTTGAGGTGATTATTTATAAGGCACCATTTCAAGTGCTTGGTATGCACTGCTGGAGATGATGAAGAGAAAAGCAGATATAATGCAATAATATAATGGGGATGTATAGCTGCAGGGACTCAACAATGCCCTGAAGAATCCCAAAACAGGCTGAGAAGAAGGTGAGAGGAAGCCCTCCTGCTTTTATGGAACATTTAGGTTATATTAGATTCTCTTTTTTTAATTCTACCTTTATTACTTTATAAGGAACTCAGGGTGCTGAACTCCCCAATACAACTTCCATCTCCTATATTCCCCATAACAACAACCCTGTGAGGTGGGTTGGGCTGAAAGAGAGAGAGAGAGAGAGACAGACAGGCAGACAGAGAGACAGTCTGAGTGTGTGTGTGTGTGAGAGAGAGAGAGAGAGAGAGAGAAAGAGTGAGAGAGAGAAAGAGAAAGGGAGGGAGACAGAGAGAGAGAGAAAGGGGGAGAGAGAGAGAAAGGGAAAGAGAAAGAAAGAAAGAAAAGGGGAGAGAGAAAGAAAGGGGAGAGAGAGGAAGGGAGAGAGAGAGAAAAAAGGAGAGAGAGAGAGAGAGAGAGAGAGAGAGAGAGAAAGAGAAAGGGAGGGAGAGAGAAAGAGAGAGAAAGGGGGAGAGAGAGAGACAGAGAAAGGGAAAGAGAAAGAAAGAAAAAGGGAGAGAGAAAGAAAGGGAGAGAGAGAGAAAAAAGAAAGGAGGGAGAGAAAGAGAGAGAGAGAGAGAGGCCAAAAATCACCCAGCTGGCTTTCTTGCCTAAGGCAGGGCTAGAACTCCCAGGCTCCTGGTTTCTAGCCCGGTGCTCTAACCATTAGACTGCACTATCTCTCCTTTCATATTTCTTACGGGAAGGCCGGCATGCACTTACCCCGTCATAGAACTGGATGGACACCATGTGTGCCTTGGAGATGGTTACGCTGCCATAATGGGGGTGACAGAACAAAAGGCCCTCGGAAAAGAAAGAAAGTTTTCCTGCGAAGAGAAATAAACCAAGTTATGAGATCTTTGGTTTAAAGGGATTTATACCCGCAATTACCAAGGCCTCCTGGCAGGAAACCTCCAGCGTCAAGCCAATATTAAGACCACAGATATTAAAACTATGCCAAAGACACTTCAAAGACTGTAATTACAATCTGCAATTAAAACGCTGTATAACCAAGTAGTTCCAGGCATAATTGCCCATGTAGTAGATACCATCTTCTTAGATTCAAACATTGGCTGTGAAATAAAGAAACTTTAGAACATAGAAGAAGGTTGGCGCCATTTGTTGCAGGCACACGAGCCCCAGGCCAACTTACCTCACTGTGCATGCGCACGCCTCCCAGCTGATTTTAGGCCCTTTTTCGGCCTCCCAGAGGCTTGAGGGAAGCCTCTGCAGCCTTTGGAGGCCGAAAAACAAGCCTGTTTTGTCACTTCCTGTATTTCCAGAAATACCAGAAGTGATGAAATGGGCTCATTTTTCGGCCTCCAAAGGCTGCAGAGGCTTCCCTCAAGCCTCTGGGAGGCTGAAAAAGGCCTGAAAATCAGCTGGGAGGTGCGTGCAGGTTAAGGGGGCAGCGGGGGGGGGGGGGGGTCATATGTGCATACGCAGGAGGCATTGGGAAGCTGCGCATGCATTGCCTTCTGGGTGCTGGCATGTGAGCGTTGCACACACAAGCGTGCACACAATTTTCAGCAGAGGAGCCCAAAAAGGTTACCCACCACTGACATATACCATTCCAGACAAGTGGCTGTCCAAACTCCCCTTAATTGATCTTATATTTTATTTATTGTTCACCCAGAGTTTCTCAATGGGCAGGATACAACTTTAACGTTCAAGTACTGGGATTGAAGAGCTGACCAGCAGCGAAGCTGATGCAATATAAGGCTGATGCAATGAAGATGAATAAATGAAAATAAAATAACTGGTGTTGCTAGGGAGATGGCGACAAGGCTAGGCAGAATAGTAATCATGGAAGAGACTCCACGTGACGACAAAGGTGTGTGTACTGTAGCTTCCAGCTGCAACATCTGGCTTGGAAAAGTGGATCACAGAAAGGCCCAATCCAAAGGAGAAAATGTTGCCTTTGAATTGTGGTACTGTAGAAGTTTTTGGATTGCTTACCTTCCTCCGGCCTACAGAGTGAATTGCTAGCGACAATATACGCTCCAGTGCCTCCGGCCAGGAGGATTCCCAGGAAAGATTCTTCTTTCTAACCGAGGAGAACAAGAAAAAAAGAGGGTTGTTTTTTTTTGAAGCATATATGAAAGTCATTTGTTTTATCATGAAGGGCCAATAAACACAGATGCTGCAGGAGAAGAAGGGGCAGAATCTAGGGCGGAGCTAAAAGAAGCACCAGCCTAGAATCTCTACGTAGCTGCAAGTCCTTGAATTCCCTTATCTATCTCCTCTCAGAGGCAAAGTGTTCATGAGTAACAATAAATCCGTTTAATTGGACCTTCAGAGGTGGAGTTGGTCTTTTGGGGCTCACCGGTGCCTCTTCAACCCTACAGAGGTGATGGTCAAAATAATGTGGGGATTGGCATCTCCAGAGGAGAGCGTAACATCCTGGAATTGGTTTCCTAAAGCTCAAGGTGTCCTCTATGGGAGAAAAGCCAGCAAAGCTGGAAGGCAGAGTTAAGCACGTCATCGGCTTTGAGTTGATACATTCCCAAAAGCCAGTCCAAATCCACACTCACCCCCAAATTCTATTGGCCCTTATCTGGAGCCAGTTTAGTGTTGAACTTTAGATGGCTGGATTCTTATGTGATTTAGGACCACAGCTGACCCCCAAATTCCCATCGCTAAGCAAGAGCTTTGTTGAGTTTTGCCTCCATTTTACGACCTTTCTTGCCACAGCTGATAAGCGAATCATTGGAGTTGTTAACACAGCAACAGGGTTGGTAAGTGAATCTGGCTTCGCCCATTGATTTTGCTTGTTGGAAGGTTGCAAAAGGGGACACCAAAACCGTCATAAATATGAGCCACTTGCCAAGCGTTGGACTCTTGATCATGTGACCATGGGGGATGCTGCAACCCGCTGCGTGAAAAATGGCCCTAAGTCACATTTTCCAGTGCCGTCGTAACTCTGAACGTTCCCTAAATGAATGGTTGCAAGTCAAGGACTACTGGTAGAGAGAGCGTTGAATAAATCTGCGCGGCAACTGAAGAGATGCTCCTGATCCGTTGTCGTCTTGCTTAGTGGGCAGCTCGACAAAGAAGCTAACGGAGAGAGGAGGGTTGTGACTAGAGTGTATGGGAAGCGGGGAGAAGTAATCGACGCGAGCCGTTTGTAGCCTGAGAAAATCTCACAGGCCCCAGGTCAGAAGATGAGGACTTTCAAAAGGGGCAGACTCTTTCCCAAAAATTAAACACTTAACCTGGATTGGTAGACAGTGGACACACTGGGCAGCCCGGGGGCCAGGGAAGGAAAAGGGAGTTTCACTAGACAGGTAGTCCTCAACTTACGACCCCAACATTTCCATTGTTCAGCGAGACATTTGTTAAATGAGTTGTGCTCCATTTTACGACCTTTCTGGCCACTGTTGTTAAGTGAATCACGCTGGTTTGTTAACTGTTGACTTTGCTTGTCGTAAGGCCTCAAAATCCCATGGCCTCGGGACACACAGCCACGGCCATAAGTACGAACCAGTGGCCAAACGTCTAGATTTGAATCCCGTGGTCATGGGGATGCTTGAAAGGTCGCCACTATGGAGGAACGGTCTTTTTTTTTTTTCAGCCGTTGTAGCTTTATGGATCTGTCCGTGAAGTTTTACTCTTGGTAGTAAAAATGTCCCAGGAGTCTCTTCTGCTGTGCGTGCAATGGGACAGTTGACCCTGGCAGTTGGGGGTTCTCAGGGCTTTGGAAATAGTGCAGAGTCTACGTTTAGTTGACAAGGGTTTTCAATGGGGAGCTTTAAACTCACTGTGGGACTTTGGCCAAGGATGCTGCTGTCCGTGGTGCTGACCTCTATCTGTATCAAGGGGCAGAGATGCAGGTAGAATAGAATAGAATAAGAACAGAATAAGAACAGAAGAATAGAATAGAATAAGAACAGAATAGAGTAAGAATAGAATAGAATAATAGAATAGAATAGAATAGAATAGAATAAGAATAGAATAAGAACAGAATAGAATAAGAACAGAATAGAATAGAATAGAAAAATAGAATAGAATAAGAATAGAATAGAATTAGAATAGAATAAGAACAGAATAGAATAAGAACAGAATAAGAATAAGAATAAGAACAGAATAGAGTAAGAATAGAATAGAATAATAGAATAGAATAGAATAGAATAGAATAGAATAACAACAGAATAGAATAAGAACAGAATAGAATAAGAACAGAATAGAATAAGAACAGAATAGAATAGAAAAATAGAATAAGAATAGAATAGAATTAAAATAGAATAAGAACAGAATAGAATAAGAACAGAAGAGAATAGAATAGAATAAAAATAGAATAGAATAAGAATAGAATAAGAACAGAATAGAATAAAAATAAGAATAGAATAGAATAAGAATAGAATAGAAATAGAATAGAAATAGATTAGAATAGAATAGAATACAATAGAATAGAATAGAATAGAATAGAATAGCAGAGTTGGAAGGGACCCTGGAGGTCTTCTAGTCCAGCCCCCTGCTTAGGCAGGAAACCCTACACCACTTCAGACAAAGGATTATCCAACATCTTTTTAAAAACGTCTAATGTTGGAGCTTCCACAACTTCTGGAGGCCAGTTGTTCCACTGATTAATTGTTCTAACTGTCAGGAAATTTCTTGTTCGTTCTAAGTTGCTTCTCTCCTTGATTAGTTTCCGTCCATTGCTTCTTATTTAGCTTTCAGGTGCTTTGGAGAATAGCTTGACCCCTTCTTCTTTGGGGCAGCCCCTGAGATCATGTCTCCCCTGGTCCTTCTTTTCATCAGACTAGCCAGGCCCAGTTCCTGCACCCGTTCTTTCGATGTTTTATCCTCCAGTCTCCTAACCATCTCTGTTGCTCTTCTCTGCACTCTTTCCAGAGTCTCAACATCTTTTTTTACATTCTGGCAACCAAAACTGAAAGCAGTTTTCCAAATTTGCTTCTACCAAGGCCTTATAAAGCGGCATTAACACTTCAAACGACCTCGATTCTATCCCTCTGTTAATGCAGTCTAGGAATGTGTTAGGTTGTTTGGCTGGCTCCTATTTAAATGTCTACGGTCATAGTCTTGAACTTATGACTGTAACTGAGCCTGTGCCGGTTGTTAAGTGGATCACGAGGGGTGATGGGACAACATTGGACAACATTCCTTGCAGATGTCATTAAACGAATCCACAGTTGTTAAACGGACCTCGTTGTCAGCAGTGGGCGATTTTGGCGGAAATTGGAAGTCGATACTGGTTTGCCGCAAAACCATTGTAAATGGTACTCATGTGACCGCAGGAGGCCGCAAATGGTCATAAATGCAGGCCGGTGGCCACACACCCACAATGCAGTGTCAAAACTTTGAATCTGGGTCGTAAGTATGGTTTTCAAGGGGGGTGGTCCTGTCATAATTTCAAATGGCCCCTAAGTGGTAAGACAAGTCAACCTATAGTCCAATTTTTCACACCTTGGAACTTTAAAATGTGTGGACTTCAACTCCCAGAATCCCCCAGCCGACCATGCTGGCTGGAAAATTCTGGGAGTTTGGAAGTCCACCGCTCTTCAAAGTTGCCCCAGGTGGAAAAACAGTAGATTAACATAAGGAGCAAAACTAACCAGCTTACAAGATCGAATGCTGGCTAGGGGCGCAGTTCGCAATCCTCAAATCATGCAGGGCCCAGCTAGGAAGAGAAAAACGCCAAGTTTTGTAAGACAAACCTTCAGGATTTGCTGCGCTCGTTCGGACAGTTTCACTTCGTTCTCTTCCACCTAGAGTCGAAACCAACAAAGAGCTTCAAATTCTGGCTTTGGGACTGAAAATCCTGCATTTTTTTCAATTCTGGTTCTTCTATTCTCCATACTCAGGGGTGGGATTCAAATTTGATAACAACCGGTTCTGTGGGCGTGGCTAGACAGGCGTGGTCGTTTGACTGGGTGGGTGTGGCTAGATGGGCGTGGTCATGTGACTGGGTGGGAGTGGCTCCCCACTTTTGGGGCCTTCTGGGCCTCAGAGACACCCAGCACCTCCCGCGCTCCGTTTCTCGGCCTCCTGAGCCTCAGGGAAACCTCCTGGGCGAAGCAGTAAGACAGTGAAGGGAATCAACAGCTGATCATTGGAACAGCTGATCGTCGGGAGGCGGGGGAAAGAAATACCTTAAGGAGTGACTGGGTGGAGAAGGACGCAGTCAGCTATGTCAGGCATGCGTGCAATGTTGCCGATGCGCGATAAGGACTGACTGGGCGGGGCATGATTTGTCGGTTCTCCGAACTGTGCCAGAATCGTCACAACCGGTTCTATAGAACCAGTCTGAACCGGTAGAATCCTACCCCTGTCCCTACTTCCTTTCTGCAACCTTACAACTTCACCTCCCCGCAATGCTGTTTAGAAGAAAGCGATAAAGACGGGAAGGGCCTGAAATACTTCAGCAGGAAAGTAGAAATGCAACATATTAATAATAAAATGAGGTTGTGCTTGATCCCTCGAGCCTCAGTGCGGGATGAGTGCCTGCTCCTTGGTTATGAGGAATGTCTGAAGGTGGTTTCTGTCTTTTTTTTTTTTCTGGTTGCTGTAAAGTTTTACCCTTTTTTGTTCCTTGTTTTAAAAATTGCTCTGAATACCGTTAGCCGCTCAGAGTCACGGATCTGAGATAGGCAACCATTAAAAAAAAACCCTACTAAATAAATAACAATCCCAAGTATTAATGTGCAGACCCGGCCTTATTGCCTGGACTGTCAAGAGTTTGATGAGACTTTCTTTTTTTTTCATTAAAAAATCCCCCTGGAATAACAGATATTTTAATAAAAACGTGGGACGAATTTCCTCAGCCATGAAAAAGGGGCGAAAGGTTTTCCAAACCTCGCAAAAACGATCTAGGGGTAAAACCTACAAAGATGGCTGTTTTTCCTCCCCGATGTTATAGGGGAGATCTGGCGCTTTCCCCAATCAGTGTAAACAGAAAGTGAACCAGTTTGGGGTAGCAGTTAAAGGCACCAGGCTAGAAACCAGGAGACGGTGAGTTCTAGTCTCGCCTTAGACATGAAAGCCGGCTGGGGTGACTTTGGGCCAATCACCAGGAGGTGGTGAGTTCTAGTCCTGCCCTATGCACAAAAGTAGCTGTCTAATCTTGGGCCAGTCTCTCTCCCTCAGCCCCAGGAAGGAGACAATGGCAAACCCTTTTAAAATCCCAGCACCAAAAAAGCAGGCCTTGCTCGAGGCACCCAAATCCCTACATAAAATAAACTTAAATTACGATTGTGCATTTCCTTTGTCTAAAGCGCACTTCTAAACCAACGAGGCCCCTTTGTTTTGTACAGCCCAAACTCTCCAGCTGGGTTGCCTGTAAGCCACATCAGCACTTCCTCTGGTTCTTGGCTCTTATCTAACCCGAAGTCCCTGGAGAAAAAAATATATATATCAAAGGAACACACTCCCAAGAGAGAATTCACCCTCTTTTGTTTTCAAACGACCTGCAAACCGTCACAAAAGAACGATATTTTTTTCTTCCCCTCCTTGCTTTCCGTCGGCTTAGAAAAACAGCTTTGTAATCTTGTTTTCTGTATTCATTTTTTGCAAAGGAAGAAGTGGGGAAGGAAAATGTCCAAGGCTTTTGCAGGAATCGAAGGTCCGCTTACCAGCCAAGATGCCGATCGCGGGATCGCTGCCGTGAGGACGAGGTAACTGGTTTCCGTGCTGATGCTGCCATCTGCAGTAAAGGGAAAGGAGAGGCACTGAGTTGCTGGATCCTCTCGGAAAGCAATTCTGAAAGGAGAAGTTACTGTGGGGCCCTAGCTACTCTCCGAGCTTGGTTGCGCAGACGTTTCGTTAACCAACTAAGTAACACCATCAGTACTACGGCAGAAGGGGGTGGGGTTTGCAAAGGCAGAGGAGGAGGAGGAGGAGGAAAAAAAAAAGATTGTGGGGTCCTTGGAGCTCTCTGAACCTGGTTGTTCTCTTGCAGACATTTCATTACCCAACTAGGTAACATCGTCAGTGCTAGATGGGAATGGGGTTTACAAGGAGGAGGACTGTGTGGGGTCCTTGGTGTTCTCTGAGCTTGGTGGTTTTCTTGGAGACATTTCATTGACCAGCTAGGTAACATCGTCAATGCTAAAAGGGAGTGTGGGTTGTTCTTGTTTATATACAGATCACTTAACAGATAATCGAAGTGGGAAGGGACCTTATAGGTCATCTAGTCCAACCCCCCCCCCGCTCAATCAGGAGACCCTAACACCATTTCTGACAGATAACAGTCCAGTCTCTTCTTGAAAGCCTCCAGTGATGAAGCTCCTTCTGAAGGCAACTTCTGTTCCATGGGTAGACTGTTCTCATTGTCAGAAAGTTTCTCCTTATTTCCAAGTTAAATCTCTCCTTGTTCAGTTTCCATCCATCATTCCTTGTCTGGCCTTTGGGTGCTTTGGAGAATAGCTTGACCCCCTTCCTCCTCTCTGGGGCAGCCCCTCAAATACTGGAAGGCTGCTCTCCTGTCTCCCTCTCTTCACTAGACCAGCCAGGCCCAGTTTCTGTAACCGTTCATCGTATGTTTTAGCCTCCAGTCCCCTTCTCTGTCATCACTGGGTGGGAGTGGTCTTAGTGGCTCTTTGATTAAGGCATTGTTTACCCCTTTGGTTGCTGGACTAGTATTAATCCCGGTGTTAATCTCTACTTACACGGGCGTCAGTTGCAACTGGGAAATGGTGAGCATCCTAGACCAAGCTAAATCCCAAAATACTAGAGAATTCCTCGAAGCGTGGCACAAGACAAACCTGCCATCAACGGGCACACGGAGGTAAATGACATCTACACACCCTTCAAAAAGTTTGAATGCAGGGTCATGAGTTTGAATGCAGGGTCATAAGATTTTTGTGGAATTTAATGGCTGAGAGTAATGGGGTATTTACATTTTTAAATTGTATAGATTATTATTGTATAGTCTGTTGTGTTTAATTTTATTTTTTCTTTCAATGGTGTTGTCCAGTTTTACTTGTGGAAGAGCACCTCATTTCGTTGCACCCGCTTGCGAGTGTAATGACAAATAAATTCTTATGTCTTATGTCTTTAAAGAGACAATCCAAAAGCTAGGAGACGCCAGCACCTTTCCGGCCAGCAATCCACACCCACCTATGCAGAGATTAACATCAACGGTATCGACCCAGACCAGCGAACAGCAAACAACAGGTAAGGGGAGAGGAAGCGAAGGGAAGCGAAGGGAAGCGAAGGGAAAAGCCAAGTAACAAGGTAAAGTTAAAAAAAAGAACCCAAACAAAACTAAAGAATTGCTTAGGTGAGTTAAATGGCAGTGGGGCTTCCTCCCCGGAGGTTTCTTTCTCCGTACAGAACCTTTTTCCTTGACGAGAATCTGCGACGTCAGGAAGGACTCCGAGAAGACCACGGACCCCAGGCAGCCTCTTCCGGCAAGCAGGTCGGGGATGTCGTACACAGCCATGGTCACCTGCCGCAAAGCAGGAGGAAAGGATTGTAGGGGTCAGTAAGTGGGGTCGAACCAATCAAGGTCCAGAAGGCCGGGCAGCGCCCTCTCAACGGCTCTGCGTTGGCGGGGGGTGACCGTGAAATGGTTTAAATTCTACGGCTACCTTACCGTTTCCCGAAATGGGAATGGCATCCCCTTGGTAATCCCTAAATTAGAGGGAGCAGAGTCTCATATCTTTCCTTTGACATTTTGGGCAGCAATCTTTTGGATAGTGCTCCGTGATACCAAAGGAAGACGCCGGGTCAAGCTCCGTTGGGCAGTTTTTGCCCTTCTATTTGAACCGTTACAAGAAGAAGAAAAATTCTTAGTGGACAAGTTAGTTTGTCTTATTCTGGGGTTTATCGGGTAGTTATCCCTTTGGATGGTGAAGCAATCCTGTCGTTGACTTGAGGGAACTTCCTGAGAGTCCCCTTGGTAGGTTTTGCCTAAACCCTATCCTCGGGCAGAATCGGTCTGTGCATCCTTGCTAGGTGGCCTCTTTTTCCGCAGCGCTGACAGTTTGCTGATCCAGTTCTGCAGAGGGACGATGGAGTCTGTCATCTGCACCTCTAGAACTGTCCGGTTTGGTTCTGCAACCCAACAAGGACAGAGACTCCAGAGAGGAATTAAGACTGCAGAAAAAACAATGGCTACCCACCTGCCTTCAATCGAGGACCTGTATATAATGCAGGAGTCAAAAAGGGGGCTGTGAAAATATTTACAGACCCCTCACATCCCGGACATAAAACTGTTTCAACTCCCACCCTCAGAACGACGCTATAGAGCCCTGCACTCCAGAACAACTAGACACAAGGGGAGTTTTTTCCCAAAGGCCATCACTCTGCTAAACAAATAATTCCCCCAACACTCTTCAACTATTACAAAGTCTGCACTACTATCACTATTAATCTTTTCTCATTGCTCCTTATCACTCATCCCCTCCCATTTGTGATTGTAGGACTGTAACTTTGTCGCTTTTATCCTTACGATTTATATGGACTGTATCCTAGTATGATTTGATGGCTTATTGTACCCTATGACACTCATTAAGTGTTGTACGTGATGATTCTTGACTCTTGACGAATATATCTTTTATTTTATGTTCACTGAGAGCATTTGCACCAAGACAAATTCCTTATGTGCCCAATCACACTTGGCCAATAAAGTATTCTATGCTATGCTATGCTATGCTAGGCTAGGCTAGGCTATTCTATTCTATTCTATTCTATGAGTGAAAAACAGTCCTAAGTCACTTTTTTCAGTGCCGTTGTAACTTCGAACAGTCATTAAACAAACAGTGGTTAGAATGTAATATTGCAGGCTGATTCTGCCCACTGCTGGCAGTTTGATCCTGACCTGCTCCAGGTTGACTCAGCCTTCCGTCCTTCCGAGGTCGGTTAAATGAGAACCCAGATTGTTG